AGAACACAAAAACGCCATAAAACGACGAGATCCGAACTCACTACCGGCAGAATATACCCACGGAAACAACCACACATTCGACTGGACAGAAACTAAAGTACTCGGACGCGCACAGACTAAACACGCACGCGAATTTAAAGAAGCTTGGTACAGTGAAGACAACGACACAATAAACAGACATATCGACATACCCATCATATACTCACAACTAAAGAAAAAGGACAAAAAAACTACAAACAACACCAAAACTAAAACACTGCACTCTAATATTACTAACACCAATCATATTAACAGCACACCAAAACCCATGGCAACGCATTTCACCCCATCCAATCACATTAATCCACTCACTAATCCAATTAGACGCTCTAAACGTCTCCAAGCTAAAAGCACGTGTAAATAAATATCCTCATTCTGATGAAGGCTCGAAGCAACGAGTCGAAAGCTCAATAAAAAATCATTTAAAAATCCGGGGAAACGTTTATTTTTATGTATATATATATATATATATATATATATATATATATATAGTGTTGAAAAAATCCTACAGATTCATCCCGACAAGCCTGTTTCACGAAACAGGCTTGTTGGGATGAATCTGTAGTTTTGTGATTTTTTTCAACACCACTACACATATATACAAAGTGTATATACAAAGAGTGACATATCATATGTCACTCTTCGACTGGCTAGTATAATGCAAAACAGGTGGAATAAGGAACTTGCATCTGAAAAACTCACATCGATAAAAGAGAAGTATAAACGTCCTACAAACTGTCCGCAAGTATGCTCAATGACAGTCAGCCCTGAGATCTGGTGCAAGCTTCCACATTACCAAAAGAGGGCAGATCCGAATGTTTCTCAAATTCAAGAATCAATTATAGAAAAACTGCCCTGATTTCTATGGAAACAGCTCAATCCTTAACTACTAGAAAGCTCAATGAGCTAGATGTGAAGCAACTGCTTACACAACAAGTTGATTTTATTGCCCTACTAGGGTACATTACGCACGAGTTGGCGTGCCTCCGTCGATATATTAAATCAAATAGGTTTTGAAACCGGAATATTCTTCGATATATACTGATGCCCAAAGTAAATACTTATTTTGAGATGATTTACCCAAAAGGTTAAAGGACGCAAAAAGGCGAGTAATGTAGGACTTGCCGTTACAACTACCTTCGCTCATAAACGAAACTACTGGGAGAGTAAACATCAGGACAAACGAAATTGGCGCAGTGATAACGACACTGGAAGTCATTACAATGATACTGGCTCACCCTCGGATTATTTTGGTGGGAAAACTTTTATCCAGCAAAAAAAAGGAGTGAAACACCAACATCAATCTTACAAGAAAAAATTGCTAAACTGAAGACAATACGGTCTTCTATATTAGTGAACAGGGTATAGGAAGCTTTTAGTTCTTCTTAAGCCGTTTTCCACTTGCAAAGCTTTTCACGCAAAGCTATAAATTTCGAATCTAGGCATGCGCAAACGTTCAACATCCATATACAGACGTCCATATACAGAGCGATGAAATTCGCATAAACTGTTCGCCCCGACGAAAATTTGAGTTTGATTGATTATGCTCGTGAAAGACTTTCCACACCATCTAACCTCTCTATTCTACAGAAAACTGACAATTTTGACTAAGGAATTTCTTACACGAAATATGAAACAAACGATGCTCATGGAAACATATTTCTGGTTGTAAATACTAAGCTCTTTTACGAGCAGACGAAATTCTCATTTTAAGTGCCAGTTCAATTTACAAATGAGTCTAACGACGTATGAAAAACCGTCTCTTGTACTTTCTTGGGCGTTCTGGCTGTCATTGCAGCAATAACAATCATAACATGTTATTTCAAAGCAGTACCTGTCATCTAGCTAATGTTTGATTCGGCCATTTTGTATTAACATGTTTTGTATTTCGCGGCTTTATAATTACAAGTAGTAATCATTTACCCATTCGCACGAAATTTTTCGCCTCGAACTTTATCACTTCGCGCGAAAAATTTGCAAGTGGAAAACCGGCTTAAAAGTTCCTATGGCACAAAAATTTTGCTATCTGAGTTGTACTTTTATTAAAAAGATCTTTAGCTTTAGCAACATCCTGTTATGATAATGACACCAGACAAAATGAACTCAACATTAAATTATTTATATTTATTTTTACTATTCGTGTATGCAATTAAGAAAGATAATTAGACGAAGCTTTTTACTAAGATGTGTAGTTTACTTAAGGAGAGTTCATAACCTTCAAGTAAAATTTTGATATTTTCATTAAAATGTTCGCCAGTTTTGAATAATTACAGCGTAAACACACTTACATGAGGAAATCGCAAACATGACGACATTTCATATTGCGATGTAAAAATAATCAAAGTTTCTTTATTGTACATTTTCTTCGTATAACTGCGTGTTTGTCCAATTCAATTCCATATATGAAAACAATTATTTGAATAAAAAAATTCATTCTCTTTTGCCTTATTACTGTATTTGCTTGTGTGCATTTGTTTGAAATTTTGCAATTTGCACTGATTAAATGATTGTGGTAAATCAAGGGGAGTGAATAATGAAAATAATTTTTCAAGTTTTTCATTCAAAATTATATTTCCTATTCACCGCCATGTTTTTGATAACCGGTTCCAGACCCCTTTTCCCCTCCAGATAATTTAATAGAACTCAAAGGTTGTCACTTGCAAAGCTTCCACTAAATTAGTTAGCGGATGTATCACACTATACCTACACATAAAACACCGATTTAATAGATCTAACTGTTTCATCAATCAGTTGAAGACCATCAAGGATATTGAGCTCTGGCTTCTGCATCTGTACTGTCAGGATCTTGGTCTTTCTCATGATAAACCCTCATAAACATAACTGCAATGGCTTCAAAAGATCTCCATACCGCTTCAATTGATTCACTTCTATACACCCATTTCGTCTTTGAGTGATTGTGCAATTTAAGAGCATTTTCAATTTTTTCCATATGTTTTTGCAACATAGAATCTCGTTTTCAACTTCTGCTGAAAAAAAACATACAGATCTTCGAGCAAGCTATACATCTCAACAAATGTAGAGGCCTTTCAGCAATGTTCGTTGAAAGTCTAAAAATATGAAATTAAAAAATTAGTCAACGCAGAGACTAGTCTTAAAAATACATAAAAAGATATAGTTAATGCCTAAGTAATTTGTACGGCAATGTTTAATACTGTGCATTTGACACATGCCTATGGCCTTGACATGGGATGTATGGAATGTTGCGTCCAACCATTTCCTGCAAATGTTGTTGAACTCCATTAAAAGTCCCAGACATTGAAGCTGTGTAGTCGTAAGACTGATACACTAACCCATCGTGACAAATCGGTTAAATTGATTTAAGGGGATCAAGAATCTCTTTTGCTTGGCCTTCACCTGTTTTATTCCTTGTTTCTTTCATCTCCAGTAATTCTCTCGTTTGGCACGTTGTTTTCGTCAACGTAGCGCACTGCCACTACGAGGCGGTCCGTATTTGAAGTGTCAGGAGACTTTTCGGCCATGACTGAGTATATTTCAGATGAAACGATATCTTTTACGATGCGATTCCTTACATCTTCAGTCAAAAGGCTAATAAACTCATTCTGTGAAATAGGTGATAGGTATTTTACTGAATAAGGTTTCATGTTCTTGTCTGACAACCATGACTGAAGTCTACAGTTATGCCAGGCAACAAGATTTGTTATTTGGATAAAGTTTCCCTCGTGCTTTTCATCATGCCCTCTGAAAGCTAGCTGTTCTCGTGACAATGTTCTTGCGATGTCTAAAAGGATCTTTATGGCTTCTTTGTTTCGCAAATTGTTTTCTTCTTTTTGTATTCTTACTTCTCTCACCTTCTTTTCCAACATTACATCGACGTTTTTCATATTGCAGGCAAAATGTGCAAACCGTGTAAAAAATGAAGGTTTGTTATTTCTACTTAGTAATAATTTAGTTGTTTTTGATGGTGTGGCAATTTTTCCACTTCCTGAACACTGCCCTGCCACTTGACGGCAATATGCCCTGCAAAAACACTGTTTTCAGCAATTGGGGGGGGTGTCACAACCCCCAACCCCCCCAACAGTTACGCCCCTGTTGGTGCCTTTAGATGTGTGTGATCATCGTCAATATCACAGACAGGAACGTGAGAATATCGCACATGTTGACTCGGTGGCTTAACTTGACTTGCTGGATGATTTTGAAATATATCTCGATGGTGTAGCGTTAAACCGGGGTCGGTTGCACGAAGCCTGGATGACGTTATCCAATTGATAGCACATATTTTCAAATTTGTAAAAAAGGTGTTTGTGTTTGTCTTACGTCAAAGAAATTTCGTAGTCTTCAAATTTGATTGAAGCTCAGTGATTGCTCAGTTTGAATCTTATATTTTTTGCTTCTTAAAGGGTTTTATAAAACTTTTAAAAAAATTGCTATCCAATGGATAGCGCTATCCAGGCTTCGTGCAACCGGCTCCAGGTGTATAATTACGTCGATGTCAACCGACAAATAAGTAAAATATAGTGATTAACGACGAAATATATTTGATGACTAGTTGAAAACCGTTAGAAGCATTTGAAAGATCGTACAAATCCATTTTCTATATGCCTCTATGGTAATTTAAACGTTAAAATTGTTTTGTAAACTTTGACATTATTGTATAGCTTGCGCCCAGGTTGCTTCTAAGCCTTAAAAACACAATGAGCACTTCCCTATAGCGCCTCAAAATAAAATTTTCCCATACTAATTCTTTTTACAACAATCTATGGTCATTTTTAATTCGGTTTACAGACATATGTGAATGATGCCAACAAATATGGAAATTTTTAAGAACTGACAAAGGACAAAATACAGACATCAAAAAATTAACCAGCAAACATATGCAATTTGATTGGTCGACACAATTTGCGAAAGAAAACTTAGAGATTTGTTATTAACTACATGACGTTTTTAACAGTTAATGATTAGCTAAGTAAACCGTGGGCTCAAGTATGTGTGCCGGTGCAAGTGAAAATGTTTTTTAAATGTAAGTCGAAATTTGAAATGAAAAGGAAAAATAATAATAAACAAATTTAACATAAGCTCAAGGAGTAAAAATGAGTAAACCGGTAAGAAATGTTTTAGCTATACAGCTCTTTGTTATTATCTGTGTTTCTTGAACCTTCGCGATGAACCCCTTGTAAAGCGATTTAATGATAATTTTTGTTGTTATTCCAAGCAGATTTTGATCCGTGTACAGTCGAGGCATGGCACGAAACGTATTAACACTTTTCCAAATGAAAGTGTGCGTAGATTTCTTGAAAAAGTAAGAAATAGTATTTTGTGGTGATATAGTCACATATTGTTTTATTTTAAGTATACAAAATCACTATATATGTAAATGATTCATTAACAATAAGTCAATAACGATTATGTCTTGAATCCTGAAGCTTTGTTATTAAATCCTTATATTATCCCTTCAGGGGGCGCTTTATGTTATTGCAATCAGTATTGTAAGGAAGAATGACATATGTTAAAACCTCATTCCTTGTATACACATACAACAGTCTGATGTCTTTATCATAAGTAATCTAATGTTCAAAGTTAAGTCGCGCCAGGCTAGTGCCTTTGTCTTGCCAGGTGTTATATCTGGAGTTCTTGTATACTTCACTCAAAAATCTTCATGAATAGCGATCGAATATTAAAACCTGACTTGCCATCTCTTACAGTGTACTATATTCAGCAGGAGTGATCTAATGTTCAAAATTTACTCTTGGTGTACTTAAGACTGCTGTTGTTGTATGAAGTTATCAATGTCCAAACCTTGTATAGTTTCCTAATGTGTCTTTATTGGGAAAAATCTGATGTTGAGGCTAATAATATATTCCAGTCATATGTTATACTTCATCAGGAGTGATTTGATGTTTGATGTTTTTATTATTTCAATCAAGTTTTTTTGAGCAAAGGGATCTGATTTCATAAACTTGATTTCGTACTTGTCCTTGTCTGGTTTCTTCATTAGAAGTTACGTGATGCTAATACTTGAGTCCTTACACGTGTATGTAATCCAGTCTAGTTTCTTCATCTGGAGTCATGTGATGTTAAATCTTATGTTCCCAGTTTGTTAATTAAGTGACCTAATTCTAAATTTAGAGTCCTTACCTATATATGTACTCTTGTCTAGTTTCTTCATCTGGAGTCGTGTGATATTAGGTCTTAATTTTCTGGTTTCATCATTAGGAATGATCAAATGTTGAAAACATTTTTTTATAATTCGCAGAATCCTATTATTCAGTATCCATTATTGTGATATTCATATTACAGATTAGAGAAGAATTTCAGCTTTCCGCAAATACCTGGAATCTTTACTTAGATAGAGGAAAAAATAAAAAGATTCCTAAAAGTTCCAAGCAACCTTTAACATCGTTGAACTTAAGGTAAATGTAAAATGTAGTGGTAAAACCAGCCTCTAAGTTTGGTAGTGCTATGTTAGTATTTAGGCATTTACTCACTAATAAAACAATATATTTTTTAGAATAAAAAATTGATCAGAAATGTACATAAGGCTGACTACTCCACAGGCCAAATCTCTTCTTTCCTTTTTTACAAATCTTATGTATTTATTACCGTACATTCTTTGTCATGTGCTAAATTATAGAGTTATTTTGAAAGTTTTGAAAAACACAGTGGCAATACTACATCTATATTTTAGTACACTAACAGTTTGAGTCTGAATAAGGTGCAAACACAGTTCAAAATAAGTTCAATGTTTCATAATCTGAACCTCAAAGATTACTTAATTGTATCTTTTTGATAAAATATATCTCCTATTGTTTGTTTGGTCCATTTTGTTATTAAAGTTTATCAATGGCTAACAGTGGTTTAGCCAGTAGGCCAGTTAATATCTTGTTAATTGCTATGTAAATTTCTGAACATTATCAACATTCATTTCTTTAGTGATGTATTTCATTTGCAGTAAGTGAATAAAGAAAAAAATAGATAGCAGAACTGGACTAGCTGTGCCTTTGTAGCTAAGCCAGTTCATTTTTTTTTGCTCCACTGCAAATTTTTCTGTGCGAAGACTTTCTGCTTGGTTAATAAATACTTGTCAACACCAATAATTTTGGAAAGTTAAAGCAATAATGTGTGTACGGCCCAACACTTTTTAGGGGGTGGGTGGGTGTGGCAGAACATTTTATTCTTCAATGGCCTATGTTAAAGCAATAATGTGTGTACGGCCCAACACTTTTTTGGGGGTGGGTGGAGTGTGGCAGAACATTTTATTCTTCAATGGCCTATGTTAAAGCAATAATGTGTATACGGCCCAACACTTTTTAGGGGGTGGGTGAGGTGTGGCAGAACATTTTATTCTTCAATGGCCTATGTTAAAGCATAATGTGTATACGGCCCAACCCTTTTTAGGGGGTGGGTGGGGTGTGGCAGAACATTTTATTTTTCAATGGCCTATGTTACCTAACGTTCCGTCAAATAATGCCTGCCTAGCTCTGCCTGTTCAGCATTTTCAGGGGCTACACCCTCCCTCTACTGCAATGATGATGTGATGATTTGGGTGATGACTTACTATGTTGCTCAGAATTTCTTAAGTATTTGTTTGTCATAATCCTAGACACGTTACTGACATTGTTGATGTTCACTTTAAGACATGGAGACATGGTGTATCTTGATGAAGCTGTACCCACCAAGAGTAATGGTGTTGAAACGCTACATCATGAAATGAATGGTAAAGATATTGCTATGAATGGCACAATAACTTCAAGAAATGAGATTACAGATTCTGTGAAAGAAGATCCAATTGATATCTTTCTCTCAAAGCAAGATGGCTTAATACACAGGGATAAAGATCCTCAATTGTGAGTTTCCATTTGACATTTCCCTTGTGAAATTCCTGATTAAGATGCTGTAAAGTTCTATGTAATTCATACTACTAGAATGCTGTAGACCCTTTGGGATCCCAAATAAGAAAAATTTATACACCATATTGGATTCTAGATGAAATCCTGTTAGATTCCTTGTCAGGATTCTGTGCAACTGTGATGGTAGCTAAATATTAGGGGATATTCATATCTGCTAGTTATAATCTGCAGAAAACAATCGATTTCAGAAGAAGTTAATGAGGCACAGCATGCATGTATGAATAACCCCCCCCCCCCGAAAAAGGAGTATATTTCATTGGCTGTTCCTCAGATTCAATATAGGATTTTCACTAGGGTGTTATATTAAGAAGATTGATGGGATAAAGGGATATAAATCAGGATAGAAAAGATGAGCTACCTATTATAGTTCTTGTATTTATATTCTACAGATGTCATCATGGACCCAAAAGTAAATGTGTTCATTGCTTTCCACTTGAGGTAAGAAGCGTTGCTCTGTTCATAGGCGTCAATCCTGCGATAATTGGGGGGGACCATATTCATATATTCTGTTATGCCAGGCTGATTTCTTTTGAAAATGAAATTGTTTTGTAAAGAAATTAGCCAGGCATAGCAGAATATAGGAATATCCCCCCCCCAATTAAGACAGGATTGACGCCAATGGCTCTCTTTGAAGATATGGTAAGGGTTGCCTTTCCTTTGCGCACGTGCATTTGAAATCGTTGGGATACGTGCTTTTGAAATCCTTAGCGCAGGCGCGTTTGAAATCGTTAGGGCACGTGCTTTTGAAAATCATATGAAAAGCGTTATTTGTGAACCATAATAACTGGATTCCAGAATTAGGATACCCGACTACCTGTAGCAAATATTAAAATCGCTACTTCGCATGGAAAACACCCCTATTCAACTCCTCGTTGATTGGTGATGTTGTTATTGTGTGAGAACATCACTTAGAGGTTGATTACATGAGCCCGGTAGCCGGAATTCAGTGTAGCGTTAAATGATTTTGGCAAATGGAAGCGATTCAAGCAATTTCACGATATTCTGATTTAATAACTTCTCCAAACATTTAAAATTGAAACAACCAATTTGCCCAAATTTGAGAATTACAACCGGAGTGACGTGTGGTGCTTCAAAAACAGTTGTAATGACAGTGGTGATTGCTTTTCCAGGCGGGAAACCTAATCTTATAACGAACATTAAAGCCCAGCTTATTGCAAGAATATGAATTTCCATTGTTGAAATAATTTATTTGGCATTCGTGATAGGTTGAAGATCTCTTCAGATTCCTATTGGCGACCTTGAACCACAATAACTTGAGAACAACGTTTCGTTTCTTACAGCTCGTTAAGAATAATAAATCTAGTTGTGCTTTACCAAGTTTCTTGTCCACTCGTTGAAATTTCCGGAAACGTTTGATTATCGTATCGATCAGTTATGACAGTGGCGATAGATTTTCCAGGCGAGAAACGTAATCTTATAATAAACATTACGGCCCACCTTTTTCTAAAATTTGCCAATAGGAATCTGAAGAGATCCTCAACCTATCACGAATGCCAAATAAATTTTTTCAACAATGGCTATTCATATTCTTGCAATAAGCTGGGCTTTAATGTTCATTATAAGATAATAGTTGTAATTTTTAACCTTCCCTTGAAATCATCCAGGCCAGCTCGCCTCCATTTAATCAGGCCCTAACAAGAACAGGTAGTGATAAAACTAATGACTCAGAAAAACAATCCGAAAACACAAAAGCGCAAGGGATAAAATGACTCACACATTTCACCGAAACGTTCATTCACAAACACAAACCGCATTACAAAACATTCAGCAAGATATCTCGGCGTCTCATCGTGTTTAAATAAACGCCTTCAGTATACACGAACAACAGACCACATTGTGAATTGTGACTTATGTGCTTCGTGATCGGCAAAAGGCAATAAAAGAAACTAACGCGCTTTAGTAAATATATACTCAGTTATTTAAAATAAGAAACACATACTTTTAACATTTTTTGTACCTTTTTTCAAATGAGGGGGAGAAATCCGTGACACCGGGTTGCGTTTATACTGCACCAAAGAGAGGAATTGTTTGAATACGCGGCTTTTTGCAGAACGATACGACCACATTTTCTGAGAACGTGGTCGTAACGAAAACGGTGCCCTACGCAGTATTTTCACATACAATTGTTTGTAAGCGTTAATATTTCATAATACATATAGAATAAACGTTCTCTGGTTTTTTGACTTATTAATAATTCAGAGAACGTTTATTCTGTTTGCATTGTTATGTCTACACCTGGTTCCACACTTCATCAATATTTTCTGTTAATACTTTAGATACCATTTGTCTTCAATGCGTCCTGCGTTGTGGCACGTAATTAAGGGACTGTTCATATGAGCCAGGCTAACTTGGATTCAGTGAGACGGGGGCAAAACTTCAAGCTTAAAAATTACAACTGTTGTTAAGCGCCACAAGTCATTCCTGTTAAAATTTTCAAATTAGGTCAAACTGGTTGTTTCAATTGGTTGTTTCAAACTGGTTGTTTCAATTTTAATAGTTTTGCGTAGTTATTAAATCAGTATATTGTGAAATTGCTCGATAGGATTATACTGATGATAGCTATAGAATCGTTTCCATTTGCGAAGATCATGTAACGCCTCACTGAATGCCAGTTAGCCCGGCTCATATGAACAGCTCCTAAAAATGGCGAACATTTTAGGTTTCGGAAAGCTTTTACGCCATGACAGATTCGGTTTTAATTTTTACAAATCAATGTATTTTTAAGACCTATGGCTGGAGCTATAAGCATCTAGCAATGTGTAAACTAGTAATGTCGTCATTCTTTCACAAACATTTAACGAATTCTGACAGCGAGAGACATTATGTGTCATTACCCACAACACTGTAGCGGAATTCAAATGATCAGTGTAAACGCAGTCAAATTCTGCCGTTATTTTTCGCTCCGAAGTCTTGTGAACGTAGCCTTATTTTGAAATTTTGATTTTTCATGCGAAGAATTCCGTTCAGCGAAATTTTGCATGTTACATTAGTACTAGTGTAGTACCATACATGATTGATATAATGGACATACACTAGTACTAGCGTGTGTACCATACATGCCAGATATAATGGTACCATACATAATTGATACAATGGACACAGCACTAGTACTAGTATGGTATATACGATGGACATAGTACTAGTACTAGTATGGTATATACGATGGACATAGCACTAGTACTAGTATGGTATATACGATGGACATAGTACTAGTACTAGTATGGTATATACGATGGACATAGCACTAGTACTAGTATGGTATATACAATGGACATAGTACTAGTACTAGTGTAGTAAAAAATTCCTGTATGACTATAGTTGTATTTACTTTAAATGTGTTCCCTTCCAGCCATACGACGAGACATATCTCAAGAACAGGGAGCCACCAATCAAACATTTATCGTTTCACGCTTATCTAAAGAAACTCACTCAAGGACAAACAAAGTATGCGTCATCTTTGATGATTTTTTGTATGTTAATATTTCAAAAATAGATTTTGCTGGTGGAAAACGAATTTTTTTATAAATACAATTGTTCACCAAACCTTATATAACGTCAACTCTTTAAAGAATGTTTGTCAACCATGATGCATTGCGCGCAAATAATGACATGACCATATCTATGGACGTGACGGCCATTTTTTCGGTCGAGAGAATGGCGTCTTCTGTAATTATTCGACGCCGTAAAAAGTATTTATTCATTATGTAGTCAAGGCAGGCGTTTATTATTAATACAAAACATTGTTTTTAAGTAATATAACAAATTATGATTTAAAAAGACTTCTTTGCGAGGGAGGCCCGTTGCTATTTGTACTTATTGAACTTTCAGGAAAATTACTTGATGTTCCATACATTCAGTGTTACGCTAGCTCAAAACTTTCAGGAAAACTACTCGATGTTCCATACATTCAGTGTTACGCTAGCTTAGAACTTTCAGGAAAACTACTCGATGTTCCATACATTCAGTGTTACGCTAGCTTAGAACTTTCAGGAAAACTACTCGATGTTCCATACATTCAGTGTTACGCTAGCTTAGAACTTTCAGGAAAACTACTCGATGTTCCATTCATTCAGGGTTACGCTAGCTCAGAACTTTCAGGAAAACTACTCGATGTTCCATTCATTCAGGGTTACGCTAGCTCAGAACTTTCAGGAAAACTACTTGATGTTCCATACATTCAGTGTTACGCTAGCTCAGAACTTTCAGGAAAACTACTTGATGTTCCATACATTCAGTGTTACGCTAGCTCAGAAAGTTAAGATGTAAACATAAACAGAAGCGCGAAATACATGTGGGTTGACACACAAGCACACATTCTTTAACCTTTTCTCCTAATTAAATAGACTAAACTTCCAGTGCATTATCAATAATATATCTGTTAAGAAAACACGTTATCAAAAGCGCTTTGCAAACCCGTTGGCAGGAATAAATGTTCCCTTGTAAATCGCATATTATAGGTTTATATGTTTAAACTTTCTATGAAATGGTAGCTCATGTTTAGTCTGATGTCTAATGATAGCTATGAAAGAAACGTTCCCTTGTAAATCGCATATTATAGGTTTATATGTTTAAACTTTCTATGAAATTGTAGCTCATGTTTAGTCTGATGTCTAATGATAGCTATGAAAGAAACGTTACCTTGTAAATCGCATATTATAGGTTTATATGTTTAAACTTTCTATGAAATTGTAGCTCATGTTTAGTCTGATGTCTAATGATAGCTATGAAAGAAACGTTCCCTTGTAAATCGCATATTATAGGTTTATATGTTTAAACTTTCTATGAAATTGTAGCTCTTGTTTAGTCTTATGTCTAATGATAGCTACGAAAGAAACGTTCCCTTGTAAATCGCATATTATAGGTTTATATGTTTAAACTTTCTATGAAATTGTAGCTCATGTTTAGTCTGATGTCTAATGATAGCTATGAAAGAAACGTTCCTTGTAAATCGCATATTATAGGTTTATATGTTTAAACTTTCTATGAAATTGTAGCTCTTGTTTAGTCTGATGTCTAAGGATAGCTATGAAAGAAACGTTCCCTTGTAAATCGCATATTATAGGTTTATATGTTTAAACTTTCTATGAAATTGTAGCTCTTGTTTAGTCTGATGTCTAAGGATAGCTATGAAAGAAACGTTACCTTGTAAATCGCATATTATAGGTTTATATGTTTAAACTTTCTATGAAATTGTAGCTCATGTTTAGTCTGATGTCTAATGATAGCTATGAAAGAAACGTTCCCTTGTAAATCGCATATTATAGGTTTATATGTTTAAACTTTCTATGAAATTGTAGCTCATGTTTAGTCTGATGTCTAATGATAGCTATGAAAGAAACGTTACCTTGTAAATCGCATATTATAGGTTTATATGTTTAAACTTTCTATGAAATTGTAGCTCATGTTTAGTCTGATGTCTAATGATAGCTATGAAAGAAACGTTCCCTTGTAAATCGCATATTATAGGTTTATATGTTTAAACTTTCTATGAAATTGTAGCTCTTGTTTAGTCTTATGTCTAATGATAGCTATGAAAGAAACGTTCCCTTGTAAATCGCATATTATAGGTTTATATGTTTAAACTTTCTATGAAATTGTAGCTCATGTTTAGTCTGATGTCTAATGATAGCTATGAAAGAAACGTTCCCTTGTAAATCGCATATTATAGGTTTATATGTTTAAACTTTCTATGAAATTGTAGCTCATGTTTAGTCTGATGTCTAATGATAGCTATGAAAGAAACGTTACCTTGTAAATCGCATATTATAGGTTTATATGTTTAAACTTTCTATGAAATTGTAGCTCATGTTTAGTCTGATGTCTAATGATAGCTATGAAAGAAACGTTCCCTTGTAAATCGCATATTATAGGTTTATATGTTTAAACTTTCTATGAAATTGTAGCTCTTGTTTAGTCTTATGTCTAATGATAGCTATGAAAGAAACGTTCCCTTGTAAATCGCATATTATAGGTTTATATGTTTAAACTTTCTATGAAATTGTAGCTCATGTTTAGTCTGATGTCTAATGATAGCTATGAAAGAAACGTTACCTTGCTAATATTAAATCCATAAATCGCATAAACAAACAATTAAGTCATTTTATGAAAGGAAAATTTTGCCAAATAAATTCCATTTTTCGCTAAAAGACAATTTTCAAATGACATTATAGTAACTAAATATGTAGACTGTTTAAAGTCTACTGTCAATTTACTAATAACCAGGACAAGCAGACAATTTTAAGTAAAACAAAATGAAACATCGTAAACTATTAGTCTGATGATGTCTTTGGAATAAAGACGAAATATTACACAATCTGTTGTCTAAAACTCTTGTATCATCTGGAATATCAAGAAAACGAGATGTCTGTTTTCGGAATTTGTTTTATTTTGTTTTATTTTGTCAATTTACTAAAGTTCTGTTCATTGAACATGATATTTAAATACGAAAAAAATTCCTTTCATAGTACTTTAAAGTTTAATATCTATTTAGACTATCATTTTCCTTTTTAAATATTTATATCAAATTAAGTTTGTTGGAGTGATTCTTCTCGTCATTGAGATGATTTTCCACTTCTTTTTTTTTCAGAGGAAAATATGCCGTCCTTGAAAACATCACGTGTAAGATAAAACCCGGATGCAAAGAACATCCCCCATGGCCTGATGGGATATGCACGAAATGCCAGCCTAGTGCCATTACTTTAAAGAGACAGGTATTGACTATAAACTTAGTTTGATACATGATTTATGGAAATGAAAGCCGCTCTAAACATTGCTTCGTACCTTTGATAGGCCTGGATGGTTATCACGCATTGACAAAACTAAGGAAAACAGTGTGTTTTGCTTACCAGTGACAAAACACATTATTTCCCGAGATTTCAGTCAATGGTTGTTATATTATATACCAATTTTCAATGAGAAAACCGCTTACAGTGTAAATAAGTAAAATATTTACCTTCTCAAAACTATATGTGAATGAAATAGTAAGAAAAACAATTTAGAAAAGTTCCCGCGCTTTTTTGATCGAGAACAAATGCTGAAAAATGGAAAATTTCTCGCTAAAGAACAAATTTTATTCTGTTGAAAAGAAGCGTTCCCAGCTTGTGGTTGCCTGCATGTAGCAGTAACTTTCTAAATGATTTCGTTTACTTTACAGACTACAAATCATACTGTAGTGTAATAGGACTTACGACTTAAAATGAAGCACTTCTATTTTAAATCTACACTGTATTTTGGAATAATTTCATGCGAGGTAGAAAAATACATCCTGGCAGCAATTTTTTCGAAAAAATTTTCTGTCCTGATTACTTACTTGTGTCGTAATAATTGATTTCCTGTCCCAATTACCTACTTCTGTCGTGATAGTTAATTTTCTGTCCCAATTACCTACTCCTGTCGTGATAATTAATTTTCTGTCCTAATTGCCTACTTCTGTCGTGATAATTAATTTTCTGTCCTAATTACCTACTTCTGTCGTGAGAATTAATTTTCTGTCCTAATTACCTACTTCTGTCGTGAGAATTAATTTTCTGTCCTAATTACCTACTTCTGTCGTGAGAATTTTCTGTCCTGACCTAACCACTATACAATAATTTTCGTTCAGGAATATAGACATGTCGACAACATTATGTTTGAAAATCCTTTCCTGGTGGAACGATTCTTGAACTACTGGAGGAAAACTGGAAAACAGGTATATTTATAAAATATAAAATAAAACACAATCCACTTTTCCGACAGTAGACACACGTGTCAAAAATACGAGATCAAATTACAAAATTCGGTCAATCAAATGGTCTTGTTTATGTAAAATAGGGGCAGTAAAATGGTTAGGAGATGCTTTTGAGTTTTGGGGTATTTGTGAATTTTGAAAGAAGGCATAAAAGAAAATATGAGCTATTTTGCGTTATTCCTTATTATTGTTGTAATTTCTGTATCTTATTACTTTTATATAAACCTTGTGTTATTTATTATTTCACTTATACTAAAGATGGCATCATGAGATGTCGAAACATGTCTATTTTAAAAAAACTTGTCGTGTTTATTAAATGCGCATTGGCAATAGTGCTTTTACGAAATTATAGAAAAAAAAGCATAACGATCAAAGGAAAGCTTCAATACTGGCATGTTGTCGCGCTAATGACTTTTTTTGTAAAGATTGTTGCGGGACTTTACGGCTTGACTTAGATGAAGCTAAAATCGGATATGGATATTCTTTGGTAGGGTGGTTTCTTGCAATGAAATGCATACTACATGAAGGTACGTAATAAATTGGACGGCTTTCTCTATGCGATCAAAAGAAGTTCTTTGAATCTGAAAAGTGTACTGCTTAATTGCACAATTACTCGAGAAGTGAAGTTACTTTCTAGATTTAATCATGAAAATAGTTAAAATGAAGTTTACTATCCAAAATGAATTAAAATTTTATGACATAAGGGTTCAATATAGTCGATAGGAATGGCTTTGTTTATTAAATGTTACTTTCGTAAAAACTATTATAAAAAGTATATAATCTCTTTTCTCCGCGAAGCCCATGGATGCTTGTGTTCATGATGAGAGAGCTATAATGTATAAGGAGGCTCTTGCTCATCACGAGAGAGTTATGAGAAAGTTACACTGTAAAAGTTAACAACTAAAAAACGTACAAAATTGTTACGAGTTTATTTAAATTATGAGTCCAAAGGGCAGAACCTTTGCAGTATCGTTGGATGTTGAAGAACTCTTGTAAACAAAAGACAAAAATTTCATAAACAAAAATTCCCGTTTTCCGACCATGCTTCCCGATACCTTCTTAAGCGTAAGGCACTAGAACGGCGCATGTTAACGTTTCGGTAGGAGATTTCTGCCCCTCCACGCTATCCTACTTTGGGATGTCAATAGCAAGCTTCCGCCCATCAGATCCCGAGATCGCCTACGCATGCGCAGAGGATTTCTCTATTAATTTGTTACTAAGCATTCTATTTATTTAAAAATCGTTGCTTATAGATGCTGTTGGTCGTTGCCATGACCATGAACTTGGGCAGCTAGTCAAGTCGACTGCGCATGCTAAAGCAGACTGCGCATGAGCAGATGATTTATTTGAAAATTTGTGACTGAGTGAGCTTTTTACTCAGTCACAAATTGGTCGTTGCCATGACCATGAACTTGGAGAGTTGATGGAGTTGTCTAAGCATGCTCAGATTAAGTTTCAATTAATTTGAAATTTGTGCTTGTAAATGCGCTGAGCAAGTTTAAATAATTAATTTTTGGCATGCTCTTTGTCTTTTTTAGCTTGTGTTGACAAATTCATATCAAACTCATCAACACTTTTTTACGCACTCGTAATATTCGTGAGAACGTTAGAGATGTTTTTATTTTTCTTTATAACTTTGTATCTGTATCTTGCATGTCATATTTACGGAAAATAATTTTTATTCACTTTTACACTTTCTCCCTTTATAATTAGATGTTCTGTATTTCTAAAATAAGATTTACAATTGCCTCAATAGCATCTTCTTTCTATTTCATTGCCACTATTCTACATGTGCAATACTATGTCCGACCATTTGACTGTCCGAATTTTGTAATTTGATCTCGCATTTTTGACATGTGTGTTTACCGTCGGAAAAGTGGATTCGAAAAAGACATTGTAAACTCAAATTTAAGTCATAAAACAGTATGATTTAAATTGTATTACTTCGGTTTTATTTCAAAACAATCAAGGTAGACTTACGTTTAACATGCTAGATATAATGGACATACACCAGTACTAGTGTGGTACCATACATGATTGATATAATGGACATACACTAGTACTAGTGTGGTACCATACATGATTGATATGATGGACATACATTTGTACTAGTGTAGTACCATACATGATTGATATGATGGACATACATTTGTACTAGTGTAGTACCATACATGATTGATATGACGGACATACATTTGTACTAGTGTAGTACCATACATGATTGATATAATGGACATATACTAGTATTAGTGTGGTACCATACATGATAGATATAACTGACATACATTTGTACTAGTGTAGTACCATACATGATTGATATGACGGACATACATTTGTACCAGTGTAGTACCATACATGATTGATATAATGGACACACACTAGTGCTAGTGTGGTACCATACATGATTGATATAATGGACATACATTTGTACTAGTGTAGTACCATACATGATTGATATAATGGACATACATTTGTACTAGTGTAGTACCATACATGATTGATATAATGGACATACACTAGTATTAGTGTGGTACCATACATGCTAGATATAATGAACATACATTTGTACTAGTGTAGTACCATACATGATTGATATGACGGACATACATTTGTACCAGTGTAGTACCATACATGATTGATATAATGGACACACACTAGTGCTAGTGTGGTACCATACATTATTGATATAATGGACATACATTTGTACTAGTGTAGTACCATACATGATTGATATAATGGACATACATTTGTACTAGTGTAGTACCATACATGATTGATATAATGGACATACACTAGTATTAGTGTGGTACCATACATGCTAGATATAATGAACATACATTTGTACTAGTGTAGTACCATACATGATTGATATGACGGACATACATTTGTACTAGTGTAGTACCATACATGATTGATATAATAGACATACATTTGTACTAGTGTAGTACCATACATGATTGATATAATGGACATACACTAGTATTAGTGTGGTACCATACATGCTAGATATAATGAACATACATTTGTACTAGTGTAGTACCATACATGATTGATATGACGGACATACATTTGTACTAGTGTAGTACCATACATGATTGATATATTGGACATACACTAGTACTAGTGTAGAACCATACATACTAAGTATAGAATTAGAATTAAAATTTTCAATATTTGAATGTGACTCAATTTTTGAACAATTATGCAATTCAGCCTTTGGCTGCGAAGTGATTTTAATAAAATCTATCTATCTATCTATTTATGTATCTACCGTTTCACTATCAAATAAGAGCCCAAGTAGTGTGAGATACTGCTAAATTGTGTGTAATGCAGATTCTGATATGCCGTAGTCGAGTGAATGTGCGATATTTTTTTCCAGCGGTTGGGTTATCTCTACGGTCGTTATGAATACCACAAGGATGTTCCTTTAGGAATCCGTGCAGTTGTTGCAGCTATATATGAACCACCGCAGGTATTTATGAAATAATAACAATAAAACGCGTGCGCTGATTGGTTTATAGCTGAGTTTGTGTTAGTAAGTGCAAATCGATCTGAGTTCAATTAAAGAATGTGTGTCAACCATGATGCATTGCGCGTTAATTACAGCATGACGGCCATTTTGTGGGTCGAGAGAATGGCCGATTTTGTTTTTGTAGTAAATGCTACATAGACAAACGATGATAATTGATTAAAACAAAGTTTTTAATCATTGTTTTTTGCTAACTTTTTTGATAAATTAGATGATGAATTCAGTGTGTCACAAGCTTAAAAACTAACGATGTAAACATAAACAAAAAGCGCGCAAATGCATCTTGGTTGACGCACATTCTAAAAAGAATTTGAATACATGAATATATGAATACATGTTTGAAGAAAAATTAAAGTGTTTGTTTTGAATTTATCTGTGGCGGGAAACAATGCATTTATTTTAAATCATGTGACTACGAATGAGCCAATCACATTTTACTCGCACAGCACCTATATACCTTATATACTTGTTTAAAGCGGTTTGAAAAGTACGCATGGATGTACGCATTCAACATTTCAGGTTTCGGAAAGTGACAGAGTGCAATTGTTAGACGATCCTCAAGCGTCAATTCTCGACGAGGTTGCAAAAAAAGTCGGTGTGGAGAAAATTGGGTGGATAGTCACCGATCTTGTTGCCGAAAATCTTCAACTTGGAACCGTCTGCCATCTTCGTCATAAAGACACTTATTACGTCAGTGCCGAGGAATGCATCATGGCCGCCGACTTTCAAAACAAACACCCGAACGTTTGTAAACTTTCACCAAATAACAAGTTTGGATCGAAGTTTGTCACTGTCATCGTGACAGGTATGCTCGCTGATAGTATTGGTAGAATGATTGTGGGCTCAATTGGCTTATTTTCACCAATGCTTCTTAGGGCATAAAGATAAACAAATATCGTTTGATGGTTGGCAAGTGTCCAATCAATGTATGGCATTAGTTAAAGACGATATTCTATTCCCGACTAAAGATGAACCTGGCCTGGGCTACATAAGGGAATCAACCAGTAAACAATATGTCCCGGATGTCTTTTATAAGGTGATGATGATTAGCTAAGTATCTTGTACATGAGAAGTATTAAGGGACTATTATGAAATGGCGGGACTATTCCACAGCTACCTACTGTTTCTGTTGTCTATTGCACGACTTCTAATGCATGTTTTGGGCAAACAGGAACTTAGTTTGTTACTATTCAAGGGAAAATAACGACGCTAAAAAGTACGTATAGTGCCGTGATAAAAGCTAAAAAGTACGTATAGTGCCGTGATAAAATAAGCAAATTAATCTTTGAACGATTTTCGTGACGGCGAGTGTGGAATTTGGAGTCAATACCCCATTGTTTACAAGGAATTTTAAGTTGTTAAAGCAATCAAAAACAGAAATATTGCAGCTTTATATTTACATAAATATTTTTTTACTCGGGCACTATGCTTCCTTTGCCATAATTTACTATAATGCGTATAGGGAGTTATTATACGAAAGTTTACATTTTCAGGACAAGGATTCATACGGAAATGAGGTAACGCTCCTTGCCCGTCCTATGCCGATAGAATACGTCCTTATAGAGGTTCCTGCCGCATTTCCAAAAGACAACCTGTACACTTTCCCCGGTGGTAACGGAGATCCATTTCCGCTCGCAAACCGCCAAGAACTCGGAGAGATTCAGGTATTTCTAAAAAGTATTTGCAATCGAATCAAATTTCTCCCACTCATTAAGACTTTCGTTAAGGCTGTAAGCTGAGGGACGTTTCATACACCAAGGGAAAATACTTTTCTAATCAGGGGAAGATACTTTTTCTAATCAGGGGAAGATACTTTTTCTAATCATTTATTTTATCTAGAGATTGAGCAGTAAGACTCTACAATGGCGGCAAAGTAAACAATCAAAACTTTGCGATTCTTTTTAATTTGAAAAACTCAAAATTCACTTAAAATAGATTATTACAACCAAAAGTTAACTGATAATTTTCTTTTTGAAACAAAAGAAAGCAAAACATAACAAAACAAAACAAAACAAGTCTTCGCTAAGTATTTAGTTATATGCTTTCGGACCGTGTTATTGCAGTTATTTTTCACAATATTTGAGGATTTCCAGCAGTTACTATTTGCTCTTTTGTGAATACTATGAGTGGATGGGGTGCGCCAAGCGACTTTAATGTTTCCACTTTTTTTCCAGGATATCCATTCTTTCGCCAAGTACATAAAGTGTCAACCTCGCACTAATTTCCTGAACGCCATGTCTGATTTACATTTGCTGACTTTCATGGCAACCATCGAATCATTACCGCTTAAGGTAGGGGTGCATACGTAGTAAATATATCAATAGTATTTATTTTTACGTAGGCATAATCTTTATGTTACTTGGACTGTTTTGTTTTGTATATGGCACCTTGGCCAGATAGCGCTGTTCACTAGGATGAAAAATTTTCTTGTACATTTAAAAATCTCTTAAAAGAGAAAATACATACGATTTCAACTGAGCATTCACTGACATAAAATAGTGCTTCCACGATTACAAAGTTTCATTTTTGTAAGAAAATTATAACCACCTTTTTCATACGTTTGAAAATTTCACTATCCAATGGATAACGCTATCCAAGCTTCGTGTAACCTTTCCCAGGTGTGTTCGAGGGGCAGTAAGAGTGGTGGGGTGGTGGAAAAGAATTGTGTGTTTTTAAATCATGGTGTTTTGCTGAAAACGAATTATTTAAAACGTGTGTGGGGGGGTGGGGTGGGTGAGGAAAAGCATTGCTCTATATGCTTCAGGCGCACCCTGTTGCATTTAACGAAGTATATAATTACAAAGGCAAAAGTTGCAAACACTTAAAAACTTAGGAACTTTATTACTGTGCTTTGAACACGGGAGAACAGTAGAAGGAAAAAGCAGTTTGGTTGTCTTCATGAACTTATGTCCCTTTTCATATTATTGTACAGCATTCCTTGGACATGTTATTGGAAGCTATAAAAACATCAGACGAAGGTAAAGCTCTTGACTGGAGTAAGAGTGAAGAATGGGCAATAGTAGAAGAATTGATTCAATCACAAGGTACGTTTTGCTGTGGCGTAGCCAGCTCGTTTACTCACTCAGTCATAACTTACGGGCTGGTTATGCCACCGATAGTCTGACACCTAAGACCAAGTGCTATTTGCTATTTGTTGTGTTTTCAAAGTTTAGAAACTTTGAAAAGTTTTTTTATGTTAAACCGGTGATTTGTGACTACTCCTTTTGTGAAGCGAGAGTGGTTCCTCCAGGCAAGTTTGATCCAGGCTTTTTCCACTAAAGTTCGCGTGGCTTGACCAACTGGGAAGCACTTCCTCATCTTACAGCTATGCCCGTTTTTAAGTTAAATCACCTGTGCGAATGTGCTCACCCAAAGTTTTAACGCATATCCTTTTGACAATAGGCGTAGGGATGGGTAGGGGGCCTAAGCCCTCTAAAGTTTGTCGTGGTTAGCATTCCTAATACTTATCTGTCCGTACGCCTATGCTCTAGACATTTTTTCATAAATGATTCTGTCTTTGCAACTGCTTTTTAAGACAGAAAAAATCGCATTTGCGATTGTCAAAACGTATGTGTGTGTGGTTTAGTTTACATAAGTGTGAAAGCACTTTTGTCAACATTTCTACATGCATGTAGAGAATGTGATAAACAGAAAGTTCAATAATTTTAGGGGTGGGGTAGGGTGGGCAATCTTCATAAATCCTTTATGTGCCATATTATTTTCATTTGAAGTCCTTTGATTTTTCCGAATTATAAAATGAATATATAAATATTTGCCCTTCCCCCTGCTCAATTATTGAGCTGGCTACAGGCATGAAATAACTCATAATAATGAACTATAGTGAGCTCAAATCAGCTCACTATCATTCATTACAAAGAAATTTTAATTCATATTCATAAAGTAAAAAACAAATTCTGAAGAAACAATTTTCAAAATATGACTAAGAAAAAAAGCCAAGTGAACTTTATATTTCCGACTTTATTTTAAATTCATCCTCAGACAGAATGACAGTTCACTTTGCATCTTGTTCTGATTGATATTGTGTAATCTCAAGATGTCTATTTCTTTGGAACTTCTTTTACTTTATTTTTTCAAATTGTCGGCTGGACATGGTTTTTACTTCTTATTTCTTATTTAAAATAACATTGTAATCTCCCTTCTTTCCTAGTAGATGTTGGAGAGCAGTCACTTGGTGCTGTAGACACAACAATGACAGATGGTGGAGTTGCTCAATGGACTTGTGAACATTGTACATTTATCAATGAATCTGTGAACAATAGCTGTGAAATGTGTGGTTTGCCACGTAATTGATTTTCACAGAATTTTCAATTTTCACTGTCCATATGTTAAAAACATATTTATATTCTTCTAGAGTAAGTATGCAAAATTTCTCAAGATGTTCTATTAATTTTATTTTTAAGCAGGGCTCATGTTGTGTGTTGTTTTTTAAATATTTTACTCATTATGACATAATACCTTTCAGACTGAGGTATTTTTGTAAAATCAAAGGGTCATTGAACTGAGTTTTAGCATCTAATCATAAGAATAGATTTTTGAATCATTTTAATTACTCATTGGAAATCTTGGTAGGTAGACCATCAGTAGCATGTCTCGTATTAAATTCTTGGATGTCAACCAACCTCCAGAGAACTATCAAACAATGTTGGCACACCCACGCCAGCTGGTGCCAACAATAGCATCAATAAAATATTCTTTTGTATTTGACTACCAACATGCCTGCTGTGACGTAACATGAAACCCACTTAATGATGGGAATGACATAGGTTCTTATCAACATGTAGGGATTGAAGAAACTTTGTTTAGATGGCAGTGGCAAATGTAGTAATGTGGGCATGTGTTAAGGAGGAATGATAGGTATGTATTGAGGAGGGATGTTGGGCATGTATCGAGGAGAGATGATGGTCATGTATTGAGGAGGAATGAGGGGCATGTGTTGAGGAGGGATGATGAGCATGTGTTGAGGAGAGATGATAGGTGTGTGTTGAGAAGGGATGACAGGTGTGTTTTGAGGAGGGATGATGGGATGAGGGATGAGGGGGGGAGGAGGGAGGATAATAGGAGGAATGATGGGCATGTATTGAGGAGGGATGTTGGGCATGTATTGAGGAGAGATGTTGGGCATGTATCGAGGAGGTATGGCATGCATTAGGAGGATGATGGCATGTATTGAGGAGGATGTTGGGCATGTATCGAGGAGGTATATGGGCATGCATTAAGGAGGGTGATGGGCATGTATTGAGGAATGATGGGCATGTATCGAGGAGGGTTAATGGGTGAGTGTCGAAAAGGGATGATAGGCATGTTCTAAGAAATGCTATAGTGTTTGAAGTGAAGGGCAAAAGGAAGTAAGAATGACCTAAGACTTTGCAAAAACTGGTGGACAGTGCAAAAGGATTTGTAAAGTAAAAAGAACACCATGTTAGATTGCATCAGCAACCTCTGATAATGGATAATGGAATAAACTTGGCTCACAAATTAGCATGAAGTGGGAACTTGCAGTGCTCTTTTTGGATTATGTAATAACACACTAAAGTTTTCATTTCTTGGTGATAGTGACACTAGCTGATGTCAAGTCTTTAACTACTAGTGTCCTTGCAAATGTGATGGAATCTCAAATCACATCTTAGTTAAAAAAAGCCTGTTTCAAACTTGTTAATCATTGGAGTAGATTGGACTAGAATTTCTGGCAGATCAAGAGCAATACATAACCAACAATGAGCACCAAGAAGGAGACTTCAGAATACATTTTCATCATTAGTCACGACAAGAGAGGACCACCGTTAAATGGTAAGTGACTTCTTTTTTTTCAGATAACTTAATCATTTACCGTCGTTTCATACGGCATCATATGAGTAAAGAAAATGTCATCGAAGCCGTTGTCCCCTTAAGACTTGGTGAAATGGTACTCTCTTATCATTCGCCTTCTTTTCAAGCAGAAAAAAGACGTCAAATAAACTAATGAGTTTTGACTGTGTTGTAGACAATTACAAAATACAAGTTACAAAGTACGAACAAAAACATGGATGAAAGTAGCTATACACACAGGACTATTTCGACGAGACGAGAAGAAACATTTACAACGAATTTTACAGCAAATAGCACGAACAGATACATTGATAAAAATCACAACATAAAATAACGACTCCTTCGCAGCTCCACTTCTACGACAAAACAACAACAAATATCCCCTAATGTTCATAATTCACAAGTGCTCGTTAATGTTGTTTGTTATCCACAATTATCCAATATACCCCTTTTCATATTGACAAATGACAACCATAAGTGGCTATTTTATTTTAACGATTTTTTGAGGAAGTATGACGAGAAATTGTCTATACTATGACGTTTTGAAACAGTTGAATATTATATATGTAAATTTTCATGTCAGATTTTTGGTGTCTGTCTAGAAGCAAAAGTAAAAGAAGAATCTTGGTGACAAACCATTCAAAATGGCGGCAAATTCAAAACTTCGTTGTTCACCTCTGATGTCCTGTCTCTCATCGATTCAAGGAATTATAAGTTGTGCTAAGAATATTTTTATGTATGGTATTTCGCTTTGAGATTGGTTGGCGAGCGTCGTTTCTTTTCATTTCTCTTATTGCCGCATTTTAAAGAACTCTATAAAAAACAGGTAAACAAAACCTCAAGATTAGTGAGATTACAGATATGTTATCAATGCTAGAGCCTAAAGAATGCTTGACGAAAAGTTGGCTTACTTGCATATGGTAACAGAAAATCATCAAAACTACCAATTGAATATTTTAAGCTTTGGAAAGTCTTTTAAACAGGATTCATCAAAAAATATAAAGAGGTTAAATTAAGGACATTTTGAAGAAGTAAAGCTGCTGTATTGTATGCTTCTTGCAGCTCTAAACACAATTTCAGACTGCTTTTCCCCACGTACAGCAAAATATTTTTGGAAATCAAAATGTTCTTTGCCAAATGCATTTTTTGTCCCGTGAAATTACTAAGCTTGAAGTAATGTCCTTTCTATGATTGCATAGTGTATAAACATATTGCACAAAACAGGTGGATGTTCAAGTTGTGTAAATGAAATTTGTTTCTTAGGCTTTACCTGTTTATTTGTGATGGCTGAACTGGACTTGGATGATGCGATTGCATCCATTTTGGGTGATAGCGATGAAGGTATCATGTTGAAAAATTGACTATAATCAATAATCATCAAATTTCAGTGCAGTGTTTAGTTACTACACCTTTGCTATGCTATGCCTGTGAAATTGTCAATTGTTTTTTCAGAAACAGCTAAAATAAAAAAGAAATCTTCCAAGCATAAGGTATAGTTGACAAAAGACAAAAGATTGGTGTGCAACAAGGTGTTGTTAATTTCAAGGTCACAAACCAACTTTGCTATAATTTGAAACACTATGTTGATTATGAATTCTTTTTGACAGTGAGCTGTTATTTCGCGTCTTAAGTAATTGAAATGTACATATGGACTAAATGTTGATCTTACTTTTGTTACCAAACAGGGGTATTGTTAATTGATGCATTGATTGAGACATTTTGATGAGATGTGTCTCACAGTGGCGTAGCCAGCCTGCAAGTTTGGGTCTGGCTATGTAAATTATATATCATTAACATTATTCATTTCATTAGAAATCTGTTGTTTTTACAGTGAGTGAACACAGAAAAATTGACATTGCAGGATTTGCAGGCTGGCTACGCCACTGATGTCTCAATAAATATGCCTTTCAACCTTTGAAGCTCAATTAATGTGTTACAATTTTAGAGTTCAAAGCACAATGTGAAGTCATTAACCTCAAGGTATTGGCCATATTTGTTAATTATGTAATAATAGGGAAGTTTTTTCTTGACAAGTTTCACTTGCATCATGATTGAGCTTTCATTTGAACTGGTGTATCCACTTTGTGTGAAGGTTTTCTTTATAGTTGCATGGTGTGTATATATGTGAAATTTCATTATGTAAATACTATTTAAGTGACCTTTATTGAATGGCTACCTCTTCAAAGTGGATGTCATCACCTTTTTCTTAGTCTCAAACCTAATTTTTCATTGTTTTGTTACTGCATTTAAAGCTTGTTTGACATTAATTCAATGTTAAATTTAGAAGCAATTTAAAGTTTTATATACATTTTCATGTTTACTTGGTGTATGTATTGAAATATATGTTTGTTTATTTCAAATTTCAGTGATATTAAATGTTATATGAAATGCAGGGATGTTCTAGAAGACCTGTTTTAATTGTTCAACCTGTATTAGGGAGGGGGTCACATGAAAAGATCCCTGAGTATGACTGCTTAGTACAGGTTTCCCTCCTACTTAATTCAAGGCAATCAGCAAACGGTCCTTATATTACCTGCAGCTGTAACTCTGTGTTTTATTCCATGCTGTTTACCGAACTGAATATCAAAAACAGTACATATTTTGCATGCACACTGGTAAATGCTACCTCTGGGTTAACATGCCAAAACTTTCATGATCTCCAGATGTGTTTCTCTGGAGGTAAAGTCTTGCAGTTTCCATACTTATTGTAATGATAATTCTTCTTGTCCCCCAGGCCTTGCATGGAAATTTTGGAACTGTAGCTTCAGTTTTTGTTTTTCAGTGTTAATGATGATGAGTTTTACAAAAATCTTTCGAAAATCTCTGAAGATGTGAATAATGAAAACGAGGTTAGTTTAAATAAGCAGGAACATAGCAGTGATGATAAGGTAATGACCTTCCATCTTTGAGAGAAGAATTCATAGAAACGTTTCCGAGATTTGCGTAAATTTAAAACAAATGTTTCAAATTTTTCTCTAACATGTATTCATGATTGATTTGCAAGTTAATTGATTGAGCTCAAACTGGTTTGCAAAATTTGCCTTCAGCTAAAATAATGCCATATAATAAACTTTCAATTAACCTCGCTTGCTTGGTCTTTCCATAGAAATACCAGACCTCTGTCTTTTAGTAAAAACCTCGCCCTACGGGCTTGGTTTACAGCCACGAAAACACCTTGGTGCAATATTTATTCGATGTGAAGCTGCGCTCCATTAATAAGAACTTAGTGATGAAACATTTTTATCTACACAGTCTTTTCATTATTTCGTTGCAAACCACGTTGGTAAATTTTCTGCTGTTGGTGGGACTTTTTTTGCGTAATTTTTGTTTTTTCGACAGCCCGAAGTGAAGTTGACTGAAGAAGATGCTAAAGTTATGGCCGATGGCCTTGCTGTAAGTGTGTAAAGTGTAACGTTGATGACTTAATGATAAAATCTTTGTCGAGCGTCGTGTTTGTTCTATGTACGTATCATTTTATATTTTACAAATATTATGGAAAGAAAAAATCTTTCAAAAAAAGTCACGTGTGAAAATTGTTATCGCGTACATCGTTTTATCTTTTATAAATGTTATTATAGATAATGAAAATTCTGTTTAGCAAATTTTGTTTTTTAAAGACAAAAGTGTCTTTCATTTCTTTTATAAGACAACAATAATGCGAAACATATGAATTCAAAACAAATGCGTTAATTTTTTCATTAACATCTATTGATGATTAGCTAATTTGCAAGTTCTATTTAATTAATTTTGCTGATTAAGCTCGGAGTTTTTTTATTAACAAAAACGCTCAAATTGTCAATTATTGGTGTATAACGAAATTTCCTTAATAATGTATTCAGTTCCGCATCTTAAAACAGAAAAGCACTGCGTAACTCATAATTATTCGCTTGAAACTATTTCTTGCATCCTGCATCAAATGGCTCAAATGTGTTGCAAGCTGACATATCTTTCAATTTTTTATATAATGAAGTTGGCTTGCTTCTAGGGCTTGCTCTGTTCTGCATCTTGGGCTTTCCCTTCAATAGTTATTTGGATTTTCGTTTTGATTGAAGCTTTTTGACAAAGTGGGCATGCTTGTGCGTTAAATAGCTATTGTACGTAGATATCGATACTTCAAACTTTCGTCTTTTCCTTCATTTTACTTAATACGTACGTTGTATTTTTTCCTATTTTTGCTTCATCCATACTCACTTTTTAAATTTCTTCATTTCTCTTGACTTTTTATGTCTAATTTCTTCCCAGGGTCTTGATGATATGGATTCTGATCTTCTTGGCTCACTTGGAAGAAAGAAAGTGCTATCACCAAGAAATAGTTCTGGTGGAAAGGACTCTGATCACGACATGAAGAAAAAATCTTCCTCCGGATCATTGCATCGTAAAGGAACTGTAAAACCATTTGAAGGTGAGAAAGGCATGGGCACGAGGTTTTAACAAGCATCTTTTTGCATTGAAGTATGTTATGTCTATCGATAGTATTAGCGTAGCTAACAACCTTTTTTTTTGGGGGGGGGGGGCAAATCGGTACATTTTTAAGCTTGAATGACTTACGTAATTTACGACTTTCCAAAAAAGGTTAGGGACATTCCACCCCCCACCCCCCCTCGTGCCCACTTCCTAACCCGTTTATAGTCATTGGTCAATAGTCTAAGCGATGGAATAACGATGAATAACGATTTTATTCGATTTAGGGAAATTTTCAAAGCCTCTCTCCCCATTCAATGATAGATTTGATTAGTTAGCGTAATTTGATATATTGATCTATAATATAACTTAAGCCAGTACGGTTCTTGTTTTCTTTTACTGATTAGTTAAGGATGAGATTGGTACATCTATGGATAATAAGCTCATGCTGAGCGACGAAGACAATGAGGATGATGACATTTTCAACAATAGTGCGAACAGTCTTTCGTCAAAACATCGTAAAGTGTCGCCAAATAAAATATCACCACGATCGAAGGAAAACATTACCGATGAAGGTATGCAATCAACAACACGGTCTACTTGATCAGTCTTACATAAAGTATTTTATTGTTGGTTTTCGATTCCTAACCAGACTCCAAGCAAAGTAAAAAGAAAATCACGAAGTCGAAAGAAATCGATTTCGACTCGGATTCCGATCTTCCTGGCTTGGGACCGAGTAAAGAAGTCGAAGTTAAAACTCGCAAAAAAACATCGCCTAGAAGTAGAAATAAGAGGAAAACCAACAACGGGGATTTATTTGGAGACGAGGATGACTTACCTGGTTTGTTGAAAGAATCTTAATGATCATTCTTTCATTTCGTGTCGACAAAAATAGCTCAAGATAGAGATATGTGTTTTATTATGAAATATTAGGCCTTTCCTTCTTTACGACTTCTCCCGTAGAAATCTCTGCGAATCAACTTGATGTGTTAGGTCTGTCAATAATTTTACTTCTCTGTCTCTGAAGAGGACTTCAGCTAAGGTTGTCGAAACGTTACTTAACTCCAACACCAGCAGTCCTTCTAAGGACTCTACTAACATGGACGATCTACATCTACTAACATGTAACGATACTTCCGTTTTCAAAAACATTCACTTAAAATTATTCATTTTCGCTTCTTTCATTCTTCAGATCTCGACAATCCTGGAAAAGCGAAGGCAGCTTCAGTTTTGGATGGTTTGATGGGAAAGAAAACCTCAACTGCACCTACTGAGTCAAAGGATAGTAAACCAAAGTCACTTGATGAGTTTATGGCTAAAGTCAGCACTAGCAAGAAAACCTCTCAAAAATCAGGTAAAGGGAAGAACGGGAAGAGCGTTGCTTCGCAAATTTCAAGTAATAGAACACCATCATTGCACATTATACACCATCATTGCACATTATACACCATCATTGCACACCATACGCCATCATTGCACATTATACACCATCATTGCACATTATACACCATCATTGCACACCATACACCATCATTGCACATTATACACCATCCTTGCACACCATACACCATCATTGCACACCATACACCATCATTGCACATTATACACCATCATTGTACACCATACACCATCATTGTACACCATATACCATCATTGCACACCATACACCATCATTGCACACCATACACCATCATTGCACACCATACACCATCATTGCACACCATACACCATCATTGCACATTATACACCATCATTGCACACCATACGCCATCATTGCACATTATACACCATCATTGCACATTATACACCATCATTGCACACCATACACCATCATTGCACATTATACACCATCATTGCACACCATACACCATCATTGCCATCCACCATCATTGTACACCATACACCATCATTGCACACCATACACCATCATTGCACATTATACACCATCATTGCACACCATCCACCATCATTGTACACCATACACCATCATTGCACACCATACACCATCATTGCACATTATACACCATCATTGCACACCATACACCATCATTGTACACCATACACCATCATTGCACACCATACACCATCATTGCACACCATACACCATCATTGCACACCATCCACCATCATTGTACACCATACACCATCATTGCACATCATACACCATCATTGCACATTATACACCATCATTGCACACCATACACCATCATTGCACACCATACACCATCATTGTACACCATACACCATCATTGCACGCCATACACCATCATTGCACACCATACACCATCATTGCACATTATACACCATCATTGCACATTATACACCATCATTGCACACCATACACCATCATTGCACATTATACACCATCATTGCACACCATACACCATCATTGTACACCATACACCATCATTGCACACCATACACCATCATTGCACACCATACACCATCATTGCACACCATACACCATCATTACACCATACACCATCATTGCACACCATACACCATCATTGCACATTATACAACATCATTGCACACCATACACCATCATTGCACATATCATTGCACACCATACACCATCATCACACCATATACCATCATTGCACACCATACACCATCATTGCACACCATACACCATCATTGCACACCATACAATGCACACCATACATCCTCAACAGCAATTCACTTCCTACTCTCATTATCACTCTATATCTTACCTTCATTATCACTCCCTACCCTACCCTCAACATCACTCTACACCGTATTCTCATCGTCAATCCACACGCTACCCCAGCAACATTCCGCATCCAACACTCATCATCATTTTACCTCCCACTCTCATCATCCCTCCACACTTTACCCTCATCATCACTATACATCCCTACCCTTACCCCTTCACGCCCTACCCTCCACAACACCCCAAACCCAACCCTTTACAACGCGCGCCCAAACGTCCAGCTCAAAGCTATGGATGATAATTTCGATATTTTGTTGTTTTTATTCAAGATAATCTAAATGTGAAAAGCCCAGTTCGAAGTCCGACTTCTGAAGAAACATTTCAGTTTGGTGGTTACATGCCAAGCTCGGGATCCCAATCAGGTCGTAGATCCGCCCGAAGTAATCGCCTCGAGTCTGGCACAGATTTCGGTCGAAGATCTGTCAAATTTTCTGATGAATTTGGGCTTGATGATGATTTATTTGGTTTAAATAAACGACCGTCTACTGCTCCTAGCGGTAGAAAAAAGACTGAGGAGAATCAAGATGTTTTAAGTAGTACTTTACCGATTTCATCGAGTAAAGGTTAAGTATACTGAGAATTTATGTTTCATCATTTAATTGTTATTCATTGAGGCAGTAGACGATTGAAGTACATAAACGCGTAAGTTTTATCATATAACACATGAATAAACATTGGCGGATGTAGGGTACCTTAAAATATATTACTACAGCACATTTTGGAATATATTTACATTTCTAAACCATTCAGAGGCAAGTCCATTGGTGAAATTATATTCTTTAGAAATTAGAAATTCAAAACCAATAGTGTTTTCAGAAAATACTTTGAATTTAAAATTTAGCAGCTTTAATAGTTTTGAAGAGCGCTAGATCCGCTACTGCTGATGAAGATACTAGACTGGAGAATATAAAGACTCAACATCAGATCACTCCCGATAAAGAGCCCGGATAGGCTTAAGTTTTGCTATCTGGTCTTTTCTAGTGAAGCATCGACCGTCAAAGAAGCACTAAGAACAATTTTCTGTCGATATATCAGTGGCAATTATATTTTTTCAACTTTTAGAAAAAGCAGACGGAGTAAGAGTGGTCAATAAAGCAGAAATAAAAGAGGACAAAACCAAAGAGAAATCTACAGCTACCAAACCAACATCATCACAAGGTTATAAATAGTGATGTTCTACTCGTGCTCTGCTAATTACGTCGTGTTCATTCATTGAATGGATAGTAATTTGGAATAACTTCAAGTTGTTTTTGAAGTACCTTAACAACCATATTTTAGCTATTTGAAAATCTTTAGTTAACGAATGACGTCATAATCACCATGTAGTGGCGTAGCAAACTTGTGGGTTGCGGGGGGGGGTCACAAATTCAAATGTTCATGTCTTAATTCGTAGAAAACGTGGATTTCAAAGGAACTTAATGACGCAGAACATGCATGTGTGTGAGTACCCCCCCTCCCAATTGTCAAGTTTGCTACGTCACTGTCATTATGTACAATGGTATGAGCAGACGGACTACAGGCACAATCCCTTGAAATTTAAAAAGCACTTTACTTTAACATAACTTACCCTGATTATTATGAAATGGCTAAAATTACTATATAAAAGCCCTTCTGAACTAGAAAACTTAGTTTATCGACTGATTGTGACTGAAGTGAAAACGATCTAATCAACTGGATATTTTCTCTGTTCAAGTGAAAATATTCAGTTGAATACATCGTTTTCACTTGACGTCATAGCTGCCATGATGGTGCTCCGATTGACAAGAATCTTAATGAAGTTCTTTTATTTGAAGCACCCCAATAAGACCGCTTCCTCCATTGTTAAGTTGATCTCTTAGAAAATACTCTACAGTAAAGCCATACTCTTGTATGAAAGCGATTATCGACAGTCGCATCAAAATGCTCTTCAATACTTACTGCTCTCCTAAAACATTGATTAGGATCCAAAGACAGTACGTCTGCTGATTGGCTAGGTTTGGGTGATGACGTCACAAATGACCAATTAAACGCTAGTGTAGAAAATGCTTCAAGTCCCGAACCACCTCCCGCCCTCGCATTGCATTCAGATGAAATACTCGAGACTAAGGCGACAGAAAGTAAATACGAAGCTGATGACCATAGAAAAACTTTGAAAACCGTTGACAACCTGACTAAAAGCGAAAACAAGTAAGTCCAATCAAGTGTATTCTCCTTTTATTATTTTTGCCAATGTCGAAAGCCGTTCAAACGTATAAACAACATCCAATTTTTATACACTAGTACAAAAGCGCATTCCATTTAGCAGCTGACAAACAAGCTTTTTCTGTTTGTATGAAGACAATAATCAATTTTTATTCAGATTGTGAAGATTTGCTTGCGTTCATATTTTTATAAAGTTTTAAAACGGAAAATGAGAACGCTCGAACATCCAGTTCGCAAGTTTTAATATCATTCGAAGTCTGTATTCAAAAGCTTTTACATCCACTTTAACTGAAACAACACGAGACAAAGATTGTATAGAAAAGCAAAGGAAAACTGATGTTCCACTCAGAGCCACATGGGGAAGTTGTGGGGCCTGGGGCAAATTGGGGCCTCCTTTAAGCCACCCTTTCCGTCCTATCTCGCTGCAGGGGGGGGGGGATCGAGCACAATGCCTTACAGAACCCCCATTCCCATTAGCCAAAATAACATTCAGATATTAACGAACTTCGAAATTATCACATTTTAACCCATCTATTCAGAACATTGTTTCCTTGGGAAGCTGAAAAATCTTCAATCGGGCGTCGTACATCTCCCAATACTTCAAAAGAAGATAGTTTGAATGATTCTTCAATAAACGTGAAAGTTGTTGATTCAAGAACAGCAGAAGTTATCTCAGGGTACAACTTCTTATTCAAGTTGTAAATGCATAAAGGTTTTTATTGATTCTGATAGATCTCAAAAAGTTTGTCGTAAACTCATGTGGAACTGTTTATACAGAAATATAACGACTTATAAGTAAAAACACGTATTTGAAAAAACGCAGCGCATTCTGGACCCTAGAATCACCCTTTACTACAACAACGTTGGAATTGTGTCGTAAATTAAACATTTTTATTCAGTTGTTGCGAACTGTGCCAGAAAAATATGTTGTTTGTAACTATTTCAACATGATTGCAGATACAAAGGTACTTGGGTCCAGACCCCCAGTGTCTGCTGCTTTCCAAAATCAGTGTTTTAGCGAATATATCTCTGCTTTTTGTTCTAAATTCAATTAATCAATATAGAAAATGCTAACTAGTTTGATGAGATCTGCTCCATTCAATGAAAACCGAGAATGCAGTCATAAGCACTCCAACGTACTTTACTTTAGTCTAAATATTAAAAATCCGATGAAGCCATTTGCGTTTTAATAATCTCGCCTTCTCTTTGAAAATACCTATTTTATGTTTTTGAACTTCTTTTCAAAGTCAACTAGATACATCCACTCAGCAATCGAAAACTCTGTCGTCGACATCACCTTCATCTATTGAAACGAGGAAGCCTCAAAATCTAGCTGAAATAAATGAAACGAATTCTTCACATTCCTTGTCAATCTCTAAAGCTCCTGACCGAATTTCAAGCCCAGTCTCCTCTAGTGGTGCTCCCTCTCGCTTGATTCCACGTGAGAACGCCATCGTTGTATCAGATATGAACAGACAAAACTACGAAAACGAGTTGAAGGGAATGATGGGTAAAATTCGGGATGTTGAAAATGAAAAATATAAAGTTGAAATGGAGCTGGCAAATAAGATCGCCGAACTGGAAACAAAGGTTGGAGTAACTATAATGAATTGTTATGTACCAAATTTCAAAGTTCATTTTTCATTGGTCGAGAGAGCGTCACGTGAGAGTAAAGAAATTAAATTCCATTAACTTGTTTCCTCGCAAGTAGTTCGAGAGTGAGATACGTTGTCTCCCTTTAGATATTATAAAAATCACGTTCTTCATCACGTGAAAATGCGATCTTTGCCCGACTTTGGTCAGCATCTGATCTCCATCAAAAAAAGCGCGGGAATTTTTCTAAAGTATTTTTTATACTGTTTTATTTATATATTCTTTTGGAAAATTGAATATTTCGTTTATTTACGTTGCTGTCTGTTTCTTTTTTGAAAATTGACACATAACAAAACTCTTTTTGACGGAAATCTCGTGAAACAGTTTGTTTTGTTCACCCTCGTTACGCGGCGGTCTCGGGTAAACAAAAACACACTTTAATCCTAACACGGTTTTTATTATGCACATGAAAAACATGTGACTTGGACGAGATTTGAACTCGGACCTTCGGGATACTAATCCGCCGCTATATCTGTTGAGCTACCAAGCCCACAGGGATTGGAGAAGTAAACTGCTATAGTGGCGAGAATCTCTCGTCCATACGCAGTTTAAAAGAGATTTGACTCGTCTCCAATCCCTGTGGGCTTGGTAGCTCAACAGGTATACTGCCGAACTAGTACCCGAAGGTGCGAGTTCAAATCTCGTCCAAGTCACATGTTTTTTTATGTGCATATTGAAAACCGTGTTAGGATTAATATATTATATATATTCTCTGATGATGGCTTTGGAATAAAGCACACTTTGGTGTGTGACAATAAGTGTTAAACACTAACCTAGACGTCAAACACATAACTAAAGGAACACTGGCTTATAAATATTCAACATGCTTGTATCAGATTCGACGACTCGAAGTCGAGAACAATGGTCTAACCCAGTGCATTGAGTCGAGCAAACAACGACATGAAGAGACAATTACCGCCATTGAGAACTCGCATAAGTAAGTGAATTTTTTAATCTTTATAAACGGCATTGAGGTTTTTAGTGCTAAGTTTCCATGGAAAGTAAATATTGAAGAATCTACGCGTTATATATGTAAAGGCTGTTGTTGTTTGAAACATTGCACTATCTTTGAATCCAAGTTTATGGTATTTGCGTTTATATTTCTTCAATAATTGCTGAATGTCCGTTTACACATAATAGAATTCAAGATTTTCACTGTGGCATTTCAAAATTTACACGAGAAAGCAAATATTTTAAATGCAAAACAATGTTAACAAAATTTTATGTCAGAACGTATGTGTTCACGTTGGTGTTTTATTGTTATGGCCGTTTGCATGAATATTATTCTCGAATGAAAAAGCTCTCAGTTTTCATAGTTTTCAAAAACATTACTTTTTAGGGCTTTGTTGTCTAAAGCGTATTCTAATCTTTTAATCAATCATGAAACACGGCTAAGATTAAAGTTTTGCCCTAGTAATCATTTATCAGACTAGGAATATAAATCTTAAGGGGGTTTTCTCTCTTTTTTGCACAGATTCCTCTACACATCATTTTTATCTTCTAGGTCTACTATCATCTATTGTTTTCAATCTTTCAGGAGTCGTATCCAGGCTCTGGAAGAGTCGTATCATCGTCGTGAAGCAAGACAAAGAGATGAGATGGAGTTAATGTTGACGAAGCACAAAGAAACTGTTGTCGAATTGGAACAAGAGAAATCAGAATTGCTTTCTGTCCATGCGCAGAAAATTTCTTCCTTGGAGGCTAGCAAGTTGACAGAGATTGAAAGGCTAAATGAGACACATCGTCGTGCTTTAGATGAAGTACGAACCCAACATCTTGCAGAGATAAATCATTTAAAAACAATGAAAGAACAAGAAATATCAGGTATTTTTTATGATTGTGTATGTTTTCTTGAGATACCTTAAGGATATTGTTGGAGTACTGTAAGATGATAGAGGACAACTGGGATTTGGGTGACGATAAACACGTACACGAATATCTTTATAGTTACTTGAGATACCTTGAGGATATGGCTGGGACGTTGTGGGATGTAAGTGTACAATTGTGGTTTGGGTGATAATAAATACAGTTGGTATTTTTTGTAGCGTACATTATTTGAACTCATCAAACTATATCGTTGATGTTAACCAGTGGCGAGCAATGGTTACGAAGCCAGCCCGAGCTATTTTTTCAGCAAAATCATTTCTTGAGGGAATCAAGTCCATTTAATGTATTTTTTTAACGATTGAACATAAAATATTTGCATTGTCAGTATTAAAAAATGGACTGGCTTTGTTACGGGTGGTTAAGATATCTATATTTGCATGTACCTAAGTTTTGTCATACTGTGTTTGAAATTTCTTTGGGTCACATGTGGAAGGATTTGGACTAGTTGATTTGTTAGGTGATAGCCTTCCAGTTATATTTAGTTTTGTGGTTTATTTTACCTAGCCACCATGACTGCATTTTCTCATACGAAATCCTTACAAGGACTCATGGAGCAAGTATTGAATTCAACGAAACAGGTAAGTTATATGTTGAAGTCACGATTTCCACGGGGGGTGGGCACGGGCTAGGGGAAAATTTCGTAGGGGGGAAAATTGTGGTGCGCAGTTTGGATACAAGTGAATTTCAACTTCTAAGGCCGTTCTTTTCAAAATCAAATTGAAGGGATCTTCGTGGATCGTGTTGATCTAGCTCCCACAGTCATGGTACTTGTTTAGTTTGTCATATATCCTGCAATTTTTCTATTTTTCTAAGTTAAGTTGAATAAAGAACCATTGAACTCTCCAGGTTTAATTCTATAGGTTGAAGACCTGCATCATTTGGTTGAAGTTTCGCACAAAAACAGTGAACAAGAACGAGATCTTTCAATGAGAGCAAAAGATGAATATCTTAATCAACTTCAAGATAGACTGTTGAAACAACAGATGGAAAATGACGAAGAACGAACGAGATTACAGAATCTACTTGCCAAAATGGAAATACAGCTTCGTGAACAAAATAGGAAACTCGAGGAAGATAAGTGGAAGTTGAACCAGGTTTGTTGTCAAGTCTCTACAAACTATTTTGTTTGTAGGTTATTGCTTGTTAAGTTTTGGATTCTTTAGAAATCAGCGCAATGGTTTGATGAGAAGTTTGCTCTAGTACTCTCATCAACAATTTCATGAACCTTTTTAAAATTATTGAGCGTTGTTTACGTTCATTAAAATTCTGACACGGCTATATTTGCTTATGAAAAACATAAAGTTTGAGTAATACGTTTCTATTTGCATTCTCCTCCATATTTTTATCTTTACCGTTAAATTAGAGTTATTTTGTATTTCAATCTTATGATATAGTCATTATGTTATTTCGCCGACAATTGTGTCTTTGCTTTTATCGTAGGAGGATTCCCGTTTGAAATCATTGCGTATATCCCTCGAGGAAGAAAGATGCGTCACGCGTGATCAACTCGAAGCCGAACGTGGATTGCTTCAGAAGTCAAAAGACGAGTTCCTGGCACAGCAACGTCAGATGTTGGCCGATATTAACGAAGAGAGGAAAACATTGGCTTTGGAAAGGGCTGAAGTTTCTGCTGCTCAAAGAGGAATTGTAAAAAAAGAAAAACAGAAGCATGATAATATTATAAAGGTAAGAAATGGCTTTTTTAATTCAAAATATAATTCCAATTTTACCCTACAAAGTAAATCTTTGAATGGTCCACTGCACTAAATAGGAGAACTTTTATATACAAGATAGACTCTTACCTTGTCAGCTTTCTATTATAATACGTTTACAGTATGTGAATGATAGTTGCTGCTGACTTGTATGAAATTTATATGGACCGTGTGATATTGACTTACCGTAAATGCTCTTTTTACCGCCGCTCTCGCTTGAGCGCGAGCTGGGTTAAGAGCCGCATTTAGAATCCAGGGGCCGGTTGCACGAAGCCTGGATAGGGTTAACCATTGGATAGCAAGTTTTTTAAACTTTTACAAAACCTTTCAAATAGCAAGCGCGGCGCTCGGAAGAAATATAGAGTTATTAAACTCTAAAGTCTAGGAGAATCTTGTTCTGCGTCTATGTGACATTATTTTCATCAGGTTGTATAATATTACATAATGACAAAAGATTTTGTCCACTTAAAAATAACTTTCTTGGGGCAGGAAAAATATTCAATATGCGCCGCGGAGCTAAAGCGAGCATTTACGGTGCAAGCTTTGTTCAAAGTCCTACTGTATTTGTTTTTTGGTGGCTTATCTTGGACAAATTACAGTTTAGACTGTCTTTAAAATACGATAAAATCAAGGTGTTTTTTGCACCACCACTATTCCGCTACACCGTTTGAATTAATTGCGACTTTCACGGTGAATTAGGTGAATTAAAATTCTAGTTGGAACTAATAGTTTCTTCAGTTAAATATTTTACGCTTTTACAATAGTCTTTAAGCTACTTGTTGAATAAAACTACTTACATGGAAGTCTGTGATAAATGCGTCTTCCAATTATAAAAAAATATGTTTATTGCAGCTGGATGCTGAACATGAAAACATACGCGTTCGTTTGGCTGAGGAAACCGCTGCCCTGGAAGCTCGCGAGGCTCAGTTCAAGCGCGAGCAAGAGGAATTCAGAAAAGAAAAGAGGTTATTTGTGGATAGACAGGATGAATGGTCCACGGAGAAGGATCGCATCGGTAAACTGGGAATATTACTTCAAAGTCGTGCTAAAGAAATTGAGGAAATAAGTTTGGTGAGTGATGTCATTGCAAAAATTCTTCATGATTTTGAACCAAAAAGATATGACGTATGTTTTCAAAACTCGAAGTACAACTATTGATTTTAAACTAAAAGATATGACGTATGTTTTCAAAACTCGAAGTAAAACTATTGATTTTAAACTAAAAGATATGACGTATGTTTTCAAAACTCGAAGTAAAACTATTGATTTTAAACTGAAAGATATGACGTATGTTGTCAAAACTCGAAGTACAACTATTGATTTCAAACTAAAAGATATGGTGTATGTTTTCAAAACTCGAAGTACAACTATTGATTTTAAACTAAAAGATATGGTGTATGTTGTCAAAACTCGAAGTACAACTATTGATTTTAAACTAAAAGATATGACGTATGTTTTCAAAACTCGAAGTACAACTATTGATTTTAAACTAAAAGATATGGTGTATGTTGTCAAAACTCGAAGTAAAACTATTGATTTTAAACTAAAAGATATGACGTATGTTTTCAAAACTCGAAGTAAAACTATTGATTTTAAACTAAAAGATATGGTGTATGTTTTCAAAACTCGAAGTACAACTATTGATTTTAAACTAAAAGATATGGTGTATGTTTTCAAAACTCGAAGTACAACTATTGATTTTAAACTAAAAGATATGGTGTATGTTTTCAAAACTCGAAGTACAACTATTGATTTTAAACTAAAAGATATGGTGTATGTTTTCAAAACTCGAAGTACAACTATTGATTTTAAACTAAAAGATATGATGTATGTTTTCAAAACTCGAAGTAAAACTATTGATTTTAAACTAAAAGATATGATGTATGTTTTCAAAACTCGAAGTACAACTATTGATTTTAAACTAAAAGATATGGTGTATGTTGTCAAAACTCGAAGTAAAACTATTGATTTTAAACTAAAAGATATGACGTATGTTTTCAAAACTCGAAGTACAACTATTGATTTTAAACTAAAAGATATGGTGTATGTTTTCAAAACTCGAAGTACAACTATTGATTTTAAACTAAAAGATATGATGTATGTTTTCAAAACTCGAAGTACAACTATTGATTTTAAAGTAAAAGATATGGTGTATGTTGTCAAAACTCGAAGTACAACTATTGATTTTAAACTAAAAGATATGATGTATGTTTTCAAAACTCGAAGTACAACGAATTTTCTTGGAAGTACAACGAACATTTTAAAGTTTGCATCTTTAACTGACGCTGTGGTTTGTATGTTTAAAGTACATGAATGTTCAGCAGTAGGTTGCATTCCCTCCAAATTTTTTTCCAAATAAGAAACAATAGAAAAATCAACTTTGCCTTGGTATTCATCTCGACAATGATTTGGTTTCGAGACGAATTTTGGTGAAAAACTAGATATTCTTATAAATGTTGCCAATTTTATTTTTGTTTTTCATCCTCAGATGTTGACACGGAAATCATTGCTTTGTCATTAAAATGTTACCTCATTGTAAAGGTTTGTTAAACGTCATCACAACCTGTCAATTTTCAGGAGGCAGTAAAGGCACGTGATGATGGACGTAATGTGATGGAGAGGGCACATCGCATGCAGGCTGAACTCGTGAAGAAATCACACGAACTTGAAACAAAAGGTCTGCTGCTTCAGGAGAAAGAAAAACATATAGCTGAGGTTTGTTAGTCAAAACATTAATAGTTTAATGTACTGCAACATGTAATGATATTTAACTGTAGTTATCAAAATAGTTGAGGTTTGTTCGTCAACACAATGTGCCGCAACATGTAATGCTATTTGACTGTAGTTATCAAGCATAAATTTTGTAAACTCATTCTTTGCATTCGTGATCTTTAAAGACTTGCGAAAACTGAAACGATAGTTTTACGTCTACTTAATTGTTGTTGTCACACATATTTTAAAGTATTTCTAGAATGTAATTATTGACTTGGCGATTTTGCGTAGCTTGTGTTATGTAGTCAACGTATTTTCCATAAAAAATGAAAATATCGAGTGCTTTCAAACAAAAAAAGCGCGCTTTGTAGCAACACATTTCAAAAATTTCAATTGTTCATCACGTGGTCAAATGACGTAAGAGCTTGAGTTCATTGGAGAACACATCGGAGAACAACATCGGAGAACACAAAAACAGTCAATGTCTCTAAACTTGTCAATTATTTTTTTAAATTTTTACTACGCAAATCTTGCGTTTTTTATATTGGTCGAAGCATTCTAGTGTGCATTAGAATACATTTGTTAAATCAATATCCAGTGCAGAGGAAATTTGATCATGCACCTTTCACGTGTTCACAGGAGCGTCTTGAATCCCTGAAGGAGAGAAGAGAAATGGAAACACAAAGGCGGTCAGGTCTATGTGACAGATGTTCACAATCATGTGTCATCTCTCCTGGTCAAATCTCGCCGATCAGGAAATGTAAGTCTGATTTTTTAAAGTAATTTATAGCGTTTAATTGGTCAATACGCTATAGTGTTATCGACAATAGACAGTTGCGTAGCAAGCTCGTTAATTGGTGGGCGCACATGTTCTGACCTATTAAGCTCTTTTGAAATTAATCCACCATTCCGACGGTAAACACACGTGTCAAAGATACGAGATCAAATTACAAAATTCGGACAATTAAACGGGGTGTAGATAAAAAGCGGACCCGGACGACGGACGCAAAACGCGCAAATAAAATGCTTTTAGTCCGTTCGTAAAATACTCTTATTCTACTTCGAAAAATCGTTGCTCCTATATTAAATTTAGGTACCTGTGCACGACATCCTATTTCATCTTCGCTGATGTGATTAAAGTATACTTTCAAGCTGTAACTGACGCACTGACTAACTTGCAACTGCTTCTAACCTCAGCTTTCAAAAGGAAGTTCAAGTTGAAAACTGCAATAGACGTACTGCTTTGCCAAATGACAAGTTGACGGAAATCATTATCAGTGCATTAAATATGAACAGGCTAACCCACATAAGGCCAACATGAGTGAAATGCCATTGACAAATCACGAAAAAAATACAATGAGGTTTCATTGCGTTACACTCTATATGACTGACTGAAAATTGAAATATGCATGTTTAATTGCTTTAAATAATGAGGTCAAAAAATATATCCTGAAAGATAAAGCTCGTACAAACAGATGTTCGTACAATCATTAAAAACAGAGCTGCACGAAACTGTTTCCACTGTTTGCCTATACCTATGTCTCTTAAAAGCATCATTTGGTTTCGTTTTTATTTTAGCGTTTTCAATGTTTATTTTTCGACGTAGTATAAGAGTATTTTAGGAACGGACTAAAAGCATTTTATTTGCGCGTTTTGCGTCCGCCGTCCGCGTCCGTCGTCCGGGTCCGCTTTTTATCTACACCCAATTAAATGGTCGGACATAGTACTATATATGTAGAATAGTGCCAATAAATAGAAAGATGTTCTTGAGGCAATTGTAAATCTTATTTTAGAAATACAGAACGACTAAATATAAAGGGAGATGGTGTAAGAGTAAATAAAAACCATTTTCTTTCAAATCAAGCGAAAGTTTAAATATGACATGCAATATGCAGATACAATTTCTTTTTAGAGAAAAATAAAAACATCCTTAATGTTGTCACGAATATTACAAATGCCATAACAAAGTGTTGATGAGTTTGATATGAATTTGTCAACACAAGCTTAAAAAGACAAAGAGCATGCCAAAAATAAATGATTTAAACTTGCTTAGCGCATCTACAAACACAAATTTCAAATAGATTGCGAATTAATCTGAGCATGCTTAGTCAACTCCAACAACTCTCCAAGTTCATGGTCATGGCAACGACCAACTGGATGTACTAGTACCCATGTGGAGTAATTAGCTTGCTCGGTCAAAAATTTTCAGATAAATTATCTGCGCATGTGCAGTTTTCCCGGGACCAAAAACGAGATTTTTTACTTTCGAATTTTATCGTTTTGTCTACAAGATTTCTTCTCATAAAATAAGCAATGTTTCAAAAACTTTTTCAGACACAGTTCCTTTTTATGACACTTATAATTTAAGACAACTTTAAACATGTTTTATACAATTTTTATTGGTTTATATCTTTCTGATTTAACTCTCTCATTTACTGTTTCTCGTGTATCACGAGCAAACCATCCATGGGCTTAGTGGCAACTAAGGATTATCTGGTTCCTTTAATCAACATGCAACGCTCTAGTGCTAAACTATCTCGGGGTATCGAGAGTTATGGACCGAAAATGATATTTTTTGTTTTCAAAATGAATTGAAAACAAAATTTTGTAATTTATCTCTTTTTGTAATTAATTGAATTTTGTAATTTATCTCTTTTTTTGGACACGTGTGTCTACCGTCGGAAAGCTGGATTGTTTCCTGCGGATTATAACATGCATGTATGATATTTTCACACCCCCCCCGATTATACAGTTTTATCGGTTGACATTTTAATTTTTAAACATGTTCAGTGGAACGTTATTGGGTAATTTGTCTGTGAACTTGTTCACCAAAGGCTTTTTTCTTTCTATGTATTTTAGCTATATTTGAAAAGCCTGAAACATTAGCTCTATTTTGCAGGGGAGCCTATCAATGAAAATTCACATGTCTTGGACTACAGGCCTTCCTCGCCATTTGTTACTGCTGAGGAAATGTTGACCAGTCCCATTCCTCCACACAATGTCTCAATACAAGGCTTCCCTCCTGACGTACTGGCCAACGCTCTGGATCTGAAGAGAACTTTACGACGTTGGTCTCAGGATAAAGAACACGTGAGATTAGCTAGTTATTGCTTTACGTAGTTAGCACTTGGAAATACTTTGGATTAAGGCGCTAGACTGGAGTAAATGAGGGCTAATTCACTTTCATAATCATTTTCATAATCAGATGACTTCAGAAGAGCGCATTCAACTGGCGTATTTATTGAGATTTTTGGGAACAAAGTCAAAATATCACTGCACGTTGTTGTATTGCTTTACAAAAACTCTTATGTTGAGTTTGCAATATATTGTTTTTCGGAGAGTGTTACTCGTATTTTATGAAGTTTACAATAGACTGAAGTATTTTGGGACTGTTCTTCAAACATAAGATCGTGTCTTTTGAAAACATTAGCCTGAAGTATAAAAGAAACTAAGTTTTAAGGTAGCATCACTTCTTATGAATTAAGAAACCATGCTGGAGTAAATAAGAACTTAAATTTCGACATCGTACCACTGCATGTGAATTAATACTCCCGGAGTGCATAATAACTAAAGCTCAAACATGTTTGTTGAGATTATAGTTATTGATATTCCATTCAGCAGCAACCAATCCAAAATATTTTTGTTTACAGGACGAGGAATTTTTGGCAAAAGAATCTGAATTCTTGAGTAGTCTTCAGGATAGCCGCTCCTCTCCCTTATATGACATGTGATATTGAAAACAGTAAGTTTTTATGATAAATGTATTCTTTTTACCGGCTAGTAGGCCTGGGTGAGAAAAGATTTTCTCCGTGTCTCAAATAGAGCCAAATTCCGCAAGCCGAGCTACCTTTTTGTGACCTTGGAGAAAATATTTTTCTATCCGTACCGACCTAAACGGTAAATAATGTAATATTTTTCGAAAAGGTCAAAGTCCTATTGGATTGTGTAGATTTGACGATGGCGGCAAAGTTAACAATAAAAACTTGTTACATTCGAAAGCTGACTAATAATTTATTTTGTAAAACAAACAAAAAAAAACAAAACAACACTTCGCTAAAGTAAAGTTGCTAGTCATAGGATTCCTAGCCATAATGCGTTGTGTTTTTGCAATATTGCATATGCATACGTCACATTTGTGTGTTAGCTTTTGCATAATTTGACTACGTTAAACAAAATTTATTCACTTTATAATTTCAAAATGGATAACACAAAGAGAGTGATCTTCCATGAAATGAAATATAAAGAAAGCAACAAGGCTTGTCTGCTAGCTTCAGAACATTTAGCTTTCAATTCATTCAACTTTCTGTGATCACACTACTGTTAGCCATTTTGAAACTATTAAGTGAATAAATTTGTTTAGCGCATTTTATGCGAAAGTTCACACGGCAGTGACGTTTGCGGGAGAAAGTTTTTCTTCAATATTGCATTGACCCTATGCAGTATGGCCCTATAACGTAGGCTATATTATTCAGGATTGCGATCAGATATCGTGAAAATTCCGCCCGCTGCTGGGTGATTCAGGACTGCAGTCAGAGATTGAAAAATTCTGTCCGCTGCTACAGCGAATCAGACTGCAGGATAGGCTAGGATTCTGTCTGCTGCTACGGCGAATCAGACTGCAGGAAAGGCTAGGATTCCGCCTGCTGCTGATTTGTAACAAAATAATTGTATTTGTTTGCATGCAAACCGATACAAATTGAAGGATTCTGCGATCGAAAACGTATATAAACGCTACAAAATATCTGCTCAAGTAAAACATAAAACAACTTTGGACAGTATATAAGCCTGTTGGGACAATGTTCGTTTCGTCCTGTGAAAAACACAACTACTTCCCAGTTATGGCATTTCACAGTCGAACACAAAAAAGCCAACATTGAGGCTTAAAAAAGTCAAGGATGATCAAATTTTTATCTTATAAAATGTTTTGCAGATGTTCTTAAATTCTTCCTATCGATATGGAATATTTTATGCATGTTAAGTAGAATAAAGATACGAGTTTTCAATCAATAAAAGTTTGATTATTCGTATAAGCCAGACGGTGGACATAGCGAAACATAATCCGTTGGTAGTCTAGAAAATCTTCCATATCCACGAACATCAGAACAATGGTTGTGATATGTCTTTAACAAATGACAAGGATTTAAAACTTTCTTATTCATTGTGTTTTTCATGAGCCAAACGAGTCTGTTGTCAGATCCTGCTCTATGCATGTTTTCGCTCATTATCTCTAATGCTTCGTCGCTAACAGGCTCTGTCAGTTTCATTATGTATGTATCGTGGGCTCCAATATATTGTCCTTCACATAATCCATTTGTATTATTCATATGACATCGCCTCTCCCTTTTTCCACTGCGCGTTAAGGCATAGGCAATGTTATATTTTGTCATTAAATTGACATTCAAATTCTCAAATCCTTCTCCAAGGTAGATATCCATGTTTGTTATAACGATTACTTCATTTAGCAGTCTCCGGTAGCATAATATAGAAAATGTCTAAACGTTGGCATTCCTGTGTGATAACGGATGACGAGTTTGTGCTTATTTGTTAATACCAAAGCATTTAGTCGGTCTTTAGCTGAGTCTTGATGAATAAAAATATGTACAGCTTTGATAAAAGGGTGATTTAGGTTTCTTTGAAGAGTTTCTTCGATTTCCTCCTGCCTTTTCATTAAACGACTCATACTTTTTTCAAATTGGTTATCCGACCATGGTGGCAAAAACATTATCGGGTAATTTGTTACAAGGTGAAGTATATCAATTGAAAGAAGTGTCTTCGATTTATTATTTCTGGCAGTCTCGGTCTTATTCCCTTGATTTAATTGATTCATTTCGATTTCTTCCTCCCTTTCGCTTAAACGACTTGCATTATTTTCAGATTTATTTACCAACAGTGGTGGCGAAAACATTCTTTGGTAACTTGTTACAAGGTGAAGTCTATCAATTGAAAATTCTGCCTTCGATGTATTGTTATAGCCGGTCTCGGTCTGATTCACTTGAGCATTTTTCAAAATCATTTGTTTGTTAATTGTATGACTGCTATTGAAAATAATGTAACTTCCCGCGACTACAAAAATAACAATTGCTTGAACGCAGATTGATAAAACTTTCTTCATACTATTTTTCTCTTTTTAAGTTAACATTAGCTATTCTTCGCTTGTATCAAGCAGTACACTTGCCACGTCTACTGAGCCAATTGTTAAACAATTATTTTTTGATGATTTCCGTGTTTCGATAGCTTGTTCTAAATTAATAAATATAAATAGATTACAGTAAATATGTTTGTATACAAACAAAATGTATGGACAATGTTGCCCTATCTGTCACATTAAGCACTTGTTGAAATAATGGAATGTACAGGTTGTATCAAAAAAATTAGAATTCAAATTTTAGGTTCAATAACGCAGAAGATATTTGAAATAGTCGTTTGTTTTTAAACCTTTGTTAAGTCCATTTATTTACCTTTCAAATGACATGTTGTACGAATCTTTCAGTAGCAAAATGAAGGAATATTTCTTCAAAAAATGAAACGTTCATAAAAATCACAACTTTTCCGCGGAAATTCCACCGATAAGAGCTGCTTTGTTTTCTTTCAAATTTACTCCCACAAGGCTTTTAATTATTAATCTTAAAGAAGATATCCAGTCGCTGTTGCGTGGTCCTGCGAGCCTTTTTTGCAAGCAAATTTTTGTAATTTATGCTGTCAAATCGAGTTTCCAACGGTCTGAAATTCAAAATTTTCCTTTGGAGCATGCCTCCTGACCCCTGGATTCTGGAATTCAAAATTTTCCTGTGGAGCATGCCTCCTGACCCCTGGATTCTGGATCCTCCGCTGCCAATAGGTAGGCTTTATGATTCCGGACCGCAGTCAGATTAGATATCGTAAAATTTTGCCCGCTGCTCGAGGATTCCGGACCGCAGTCAGAAATTGTGAAGTTCCGCCCGCTGCTACAGCGAATCAGACTGCAGGAATGGCTGGGATTCTCTCCGCTGCTACAGCGAATCAGACTGCAGGAAAGGCTGGGATTCCGCCTACTGCTGCAGCGAATCAGACTGCAGGAAAGGCTGGGATTCTGTCCGCTGCTACAGCGAATCAGACTGCAGGAAAGGCTGGGATTCCGCCTGCTGCTGCAGCGAATCAGACTGCAGGAAAGGCTGGGATTCCGCCTGCTGCTGCAGCGAATCAGACTGCAGGAAAGGCTGGGATTCTGTCCGCTGCTACAGCGAATCAGACTGCAGGAAAGGCTGGGATTCTGTCCGCTGCTACGGTGAATCAGACTGCAGGAAAGGCTGGGATTCCGCCTACTGCTGCAGCGAATCAGACTGCAGGAAAGGCTGTGGTTCCGCCTACTGCCATGTAACAAAAATATTGTATTTGTTTGCATGCAAACCGATTCAAAGTGAAGGATTCTCCCACCGAAAATGTATCTAAACTAAACTACAAAACGTCTGCTCAAGTAAAACATAAAACAAAGTTTAACGGCGAATCTATGTCACAAACACCAGAAGTATTAGGAATGTATTTAAACTCAACAAAACGTCAACTTGAGCATTCACTCCAAATCCACTTAGTAAAACAAAACAACTTTGAAAAGCGAATCCAAGTCACAAACAATCGTAAATGTCAGGAATAAAAAAAGTCACGAACACCGGAAGTATCTTGAATGTAACTAGTCACAAAACCGGGAAGTATCAGGAATAAAACAAAGCACAAATGTGCAACAAAATGTCCTTGATTTCAGGTTTTAGTTTTGATTGCGTGTGAGGTAAACAGTATAATTTATTGACATATATAACATTGATAAATACAGCATTACAATTAGTTTTCTTCTTCCTATAACATGGTGTGTTCACGTGTTACACATGTTTCAATGTCATTTTTCAAGTCCTTCCTGATTGGACGCTTGAATTTTTTGTTTCCACCTATAGTTCCTTTTACGAAGGTCTGAGTTCGATTTCATCGAGTTTACTCTGTTGTCGAATGGGTTATTGGCTCTTCGATTCTCTCCCATTAGTGCATAACAGAGGTCAGGTCGGTCACGACATTTCCATGAAGTAGAATTCACGTAGATCATCTCCATGGATATAAGACAACCAATCAAAAGCAGTTTGAGAATCATAGTGATCGTACTGTACTCTGTCGGAATAAGAATTAAATTGTACTTGCACTTTAAGAAATATTCAATAGATAAAAGATTAGTGAAATGCGAGTTGTAGCCATATAGCAAACACGAAATTCAATTTTTATGAACAGTATTGAGTTTTTGAGGGCAAGAAACATTGTGAAAAACTTTCAGAAGAATTATGCTGTCGGTATGTGGAAACACGAGCTTCACTTTTCCTCAAAAATAGCTACACGAAAACCTTAGATGTGATTGTATTTGTAGCTGCATGGTATTATGATTGGTTCATTTCAAAGAAATAAATTGAAAAGTTGCTACCCATAGGTTTTTCTTACAAGTAGCTCCCTCAAATCATTTCTGTTCGAAACTTGGAAGTTATCGGCTCTCGAGAACCTCAAATTATTTTGTTCCGTAGATCGTCTTTTTAAGTGTAATGTTTAATGAACTCGAAATGATGCCGAAAAACAATTTACCCGAGTATTCGTGCATGTTTCATTTGGCGGCTGACAACTGTTGCTTAACAAAGAATATGTAGCAAAATAGTTTGGTTTTTTTCTTGAGTGAACACCGTAGCTAAAATAACATTTTAAAATAAAGAGCCTGGCTTCATAACTCGTAGTAATAAACTTTCCATACCTCGAACAATTTTCAGTACACAACCTTCTTATGGAGACACTTGCAGTATTTTTCTCCCGTTCTTTGTCGACGAGAATATATAGCTGTTTATTGATGGCGTCTCGTAGGTGTAAACAACTCGTCATAAATATGTAGCTAATTGTTGCTTCGTCTCGTATCCACAGTTACAAATAAGCTTCAACGTCCACAATCACAGCGGTACGTGTCGAGAAATCATGCAAACTAATTAACTTTTAAATTTGATGAAATTGTTTCATTTGACAAATAAAACGGCTGCATGCTGGTATTTTTATTGATTCTATGGATACATGACAATCATTGGTCAACTTTAATGCATTTCTTCCTCAATGCCAAGAGTCTCGAATGTCAAACTTTGGACGAGATTCTGATCGCCTTCAGAAGTTTTCAATTTCCACAACTGCTATGTGTTGAAATTTTGCCAAATGCTCATGGCTGAAACACCTGATCAGAGAAAGTGCGTCGTGAAGAAAATTAAACAACTATTTCAACTCATTTAAATCAACTCTGTTATTAACAAACTATGACTGTTAAGTAAATGCAATTGTGTTAAATGTGTCATGTTAGGAAAGCAGGCATAAAAATGAGAAAATTTTTACAAGGATACATTTTAACGCCCTAATTTTTTTTCAATAAGTTTCAGTTGGATACCTCATTGTTCCACATTTTTCTTTCACCTCTGTCGCGCCATTAATTTACAGCTCATTCGGAATTATTTTTCCTAATTTTTCTGCTATCAAGCGTTCTATGTGGACGATCAAATTACGATAATTGTTAGTATATTTCATTCTAGAAATCACTTCTTTTTCAGTGCAAATCCGTGGACTTGTTTACAAAATCAAATGACAACAGCATTGCCACCACTAACTGATCATCTTTGTTCTTTCTAAAGGACATATTTACGTCTTAGCTTATTCTAAGGGACATATTTTAGATTTGCAAAGAATATTTTTGATATATCCTGCGACACAAAGTGTGTAGCTAAAAAACACATTTATTTTAATGCCTGTGGGAAAGCGTCCCTTTATACTATCAAATTCAATGTGTTCTCCAACGTACAACGCTCGTGCTAAATTACAATGCATTTCCATACGTTCAAAAAACCGTAGTTTACATTAATACTGAATGCCCAATATCTTATTCAAGCGGCTACCAAATGAATGCGGTACATAAAAGCTGTTACAATTAAAGTCTAAATGTTCAATTAAGATGTCCTTTTTTGGCATGCTGTGTTGTTGTTTTTGTAATTATTACATTTGGTCTATTTTTATTTTAATGATAAATTGATAAGTTTTTTTTATATTTCATCTTAATTTTTTTTGTAATTGTAGAAAATGTTAAATTTAACAAACCTTCACATTCATCTGATTTTGGGTTCCAATTTAAAATGTAGCTTGTGGTGAACAAATAGCTATAAAAGATAAAACATACTCCAAAAAAACATCATTCTGTACGTGCAGGATTCGAGTTGTATTAGCAAGAGACAAGATTTATCAGAAGCAATATTTAGACTTTACTTGATAATGACCAATAGCGTTGCCAGTGAGATAAGTGTGGAGGACAGTATTCGTGTATTCCATGTTTTAATTCTTCAAAAGCAATGGACTTTAAAGGACGCACAAACATGAATTTATGAATAAAATCCCCCTCACTTATCGAGTTGGCGTCGCCACTGATAATTAATATTAAAATAAAGTCGAATATCGCGTCCTAATCTTTTCTCTTGCCATCATAATTGAAATCTTGAGTTCACAAGATTATGTTTTTTGGAATATGCTTTATCATAGCTATAGAATTAGTTAGTCTTTCTTTCAAATTTATTTGAAAGTAAATATAGTTTATGCATTGATTGAAAAGCCGTTGAGCAAACAACGATTTCAATTTGAGGACTCTGCGTGAACATTTCATGATAAAATTGATTTCAGAAGGCCGAACTTGTAGGCACCTGCGCAACAAAGCATAGCCAGTCTGTTGACTTAGCTCAGTTTCTAAAGTATTAAACAATGCTATTATTAATTTCTTTAGAAATTATTTTTAGTTATTGCAGTCAGTGGACCCTGCAATATTTTCATAACCTCAATAAAAATCTAACTGGCTACGCTGCGGCTCATAACCATGCAACAGCATTGTTTTCAAGGAAGTTATACCTTATACTCGAGTTCCCATAAGCATTAAGGCTGTAATCTCCTTGCTCCTAAATTTCAGAAGATTATATTAATTTTTTTAGAGTTTACTGCTGTGTATTTCAATCTATTCTCAGTGAGTTAACTGAGAAAGTTTAGAGGCCAGCTGGCTACGTTAATGAGCGCACAACCTCGGACATTTTTTTGTTTTTCCCACAATGCTTAGCTGCGGCAATTAACGAGTGTTTTAAGTATAAGATGTGTACCACAAATGTTCATTAACGGGTTTTTGGATTTGGTGTAAGGAAAACGTTTCATTTGAAGTATTGGTAAGAAAATTGAGTAGTTCTTTGTATATGTTTATTGATAGCTTGTATGTCGTATTTTCTCATTTTTTGCATTGTGCATGGCATTGTACATGTTTTTAGTTTCTTTGCTGTTTTGTATCTTGAATTTGGGAAATATTTAAGATTTTGCTTTTACTTCAATGGTATGAAATTGTAGTTTACGTGAATTTTCTTCTTCATAACAATATTTACTTGATATAAATGGCTATATATATAGCTTCTACCTTAGTAATAACAGAAATATACGTTAGGTATCTGTAAGTTTATGAAATTCAAATACTTCACGCGTTTATGATGTGCAATTTAGTTTAAAGACAATGTTTGATCATATATAAAAAAGCTATGTTTTATTTATCTCCTAATAGTTATAAAACTGCTAATTTCCTCCATGTGCTATCTAACTTGCTTCATAACTTTCTTGAAATTTATTTGAAAGCTTTTCGAGCACTATCTCGACAATTAAAATCGAATCTCTAATTTTAATTGTATTAATTATTTGATTTTCTACTTTGACGCAGATAATATGAATTAATTCATAATTTACGTCGAAGAATTTTACCTAGATGGAAAAGTCAAATGTTTTTTCACGCTTGCATAAACTTATTCCTCTCGTTACTTTTTTGTATTGAACTTTTTTTTTGATAAACTCGTTTAATAGTAAAGCTTTAAAATCATGTTGTATCTTGTAAACAGTTACAGCTACTTTGGATTGGTTAATATGATTCCAAAACTTCTTGTTATTGGTTGCGTGGTTTTCATGACCATCAATAGCATCATGAGTGCGTCCCTGTGTAGAGACAAAAGGTACTGGTGCCATCATCTTGGACATGCTTCCAGTATTGTGGGGGAATTCCCATTCTTGCAACGCAGAAGTTCCATGGGAGGTCTGCCGAATATCAATAGCCTTTCATCGCAAAATTTGCTGGAAAATAATGTTGCTGGTTATGTGGAAAAATTCTCCAAACTTTTCTCAAAGCTTCGCGACAGCTATCGTAATTCTGTTGAAAATTAATGTTCTGTAATGCTGCTAATAATTAATATATGACCACTTTAATGCTGTTAGTAATAAATATTTTATCTCTTAATTTGATCAACTTTTTTCTTGGTGTGCAAGTTACGTTATAGCCACCATTTTGGATAGTTTTGACAAAGGATTTTACTTATTTACAATCAATGACGTAGAACTCAATCTACTAGATATCTGACTCTGCCAAAATTCTTAATTATATAGTTACGAACGAGTCAAGCCGCCATCTTAAAGGTGGCAAAACTGACGATATTTACGAGCAAAATCTGTTTTCCTGAGTTGATATACACTTGGAAAGTTGATAGTCTAGGGTTTTTTAGCTATAAATTGTTTTATAGAATTGGCTTTTAAACTTTCTTTCAACTTATTTTTTATTTCATTTTGAGTTTTACTTTTTGCCTCCTTTCAAGATGACGTCCTTTCCTCACCATGACACGGTAGTTAGACATCTGGGAGATTGGGTTCTAAATCATTGTTTACAATGCATTGCCCATCGAACAATACGGCAAGCCTATTCTCTCTATCTTAGGGAAATGAAATTTATAAAACAAGCACGAAAGAGTTTTGAAGTCATCCAAATTAACACGTTTAGTGAGGTTTTTAAAAACTAGTGAGTGTCTGATTGTCAAATATTACATGCGAGAGGAGAACATTACTTATTCATGATCGACAGCCGCCACGTATGGAAGTTCTCTAAAATAAGGCACCACGTGACCACATTTGCAATCGAAAATCATCTGTTTTATGTAAGATTTGTTGGCTGCTGTAGCTAATCGGAGTCGACTAATTTCCAGTGGCATAGCCAGCTACCTACTTTAGTCCTGCTTTAAGGGGTCTGTCCCCTGTTCACTCACAGTAAAAACAATAGACTTCTAATGACAACATTCAGCAATTTCCACAGCATGATTAAATCTTGCAGATTGCCTGCGTCACTGCTTTTCAATTTCTGCGCATCAACATTAAGATAAAGAAAAATGAAACATCAAGGAGGTGTGTAATGGTTTATTGAAAATGTTCGAACTACAATGTCCTGCTCAGATGTAACTGATCAACAGATCACCGAGTAAAACTGAAAAAATACAATAAGTTATGATCCAATCACTGGACCTCTCCATAAAAATATCAATATATAAATTAAAAATTAATAACCTAAACGGAAGACATTTACGTAATGTTTTTGTCGCTTTATTAGCGACAAATTATCTGTTATGAAGCCTATCTAGAGAAAATCATATGCTTCTGGTAAAATTTATAAAAATTTCTACTGCTTGAACAGAGTAATAAAAATTTGATTTATGAATACATTTGGAATTGCTTCGAGTTGGGCAATTTTTATTTATAAAGGCCGGAACCTCCCCCCAACCCCTATGAATTAAATTTTTTTAGCCCATCAAAATCGGCAAATCACTGGGTAGCAAACTTCTGTAACTTCATACAAAATAATGGTAAAGCGAAGATACAATTCTAGCAGAATACTGTCCAGTGATGATGGCTTCCCGATCTTCACGAAAATTCTAAGGATGAATTTTTACGACATTGCAAAAGATATAAAAAGAGGATGATCGTTATGAAAAGTATTCTAATTCCTCTTAGCAATCCCAAAATGCAATGTGATCGCAAGATTCTGCCCTCAAAGAAAATGCAAATCAGTCGTAATACTGAGAAGTAAAAGTCGTTTGTGTTAAAGTCAGCTTTGCATTGTACTTGAATGATACTATTAGCACAATAAGCATGGAGTTTTCACACCCTATCTTTATCAAGCTTTTGTTATAACCATAGATATGTATAATAAACTAGATACCGCAAGCCAAAGTAATCGGATGACCACATTGTTATCACCCGATTACTAGGTCCCACTCGAGTAGTGAAACCCAACTTTAACATACGACAGAGCTTTTATGACGACGTATTTTTGTTATTTTTGGAACTTAAAGCCATGTATAAACATAGCATATTTTGTAGAAATATGACTATGAAGTGGGACCTTCCAATATGGCGGCTATGGCTTCACAGAAATAGGGAAGTACGTTATCAAGTCTATTTTCAGATCTGTGGTTATAACCCATTTTGTATATAAATCACATAAATAAATGAAAGCATGCGCTGGCATTGCGTGCAACTGCGACTTCCGTTTTAAATACAATAGTTTTAAGAAATGTTGATGGCATAAGAACCTCGTGGAATACAAGAAAGACTCCTTCCACGTTACATGAACGATAAAGAAATATTTTGTGGCGTCCGACCAGCGAGCACCTAAGTGTTTACACGACCTTGCTCGTGAAACGATAAACCAATTTGCTCCGAGGCTTGGTCAAAATGCCTTTGGCAATGTATGTTCTTAGAGAACGTGCAAAATTTTCGTATTTCATGTGGGGTTTGTTCCGTCTTCGGCCCCACTCGATGCAACTTCAGCGGAATCAAGGAATTTAAATACACCATTATTCTGATCCACCCACTCAATAATTTTCGAATATTTGGAAGGATTTGCCAAAAGCTCGACCAAAAAATGACATAAACGTGGCCGGGATACCTTCGGACGAACTTCGGATGGTCTCGGAAAGTTTATTGGACTTGGAACGCTGTATCCGTTTTGGGAAGAGATCGGGACCTGCTGGTTTCTATAGATGAATTCTTGCGCATTTTTGTTGAAAGCATTGGGCTGTTTGGACTCCACTTCGTAAATACTATTGTCCAATTGACAGTCGAGGAGGAATGGAGGATAATCAGTGTCAGGAACCATAGGTGAATGCCGGGACGTGTTACGGCTAAACAAAGCACGAGACTAGAATTATACATGAATGACGGAAATACGGTGTAGCGTTACGTTTGAAACGTTTGATTCGCTAAAAGAAACTAGAATGTGTATTGCAATAAGGTCAATAATAGAGGTTAATATAATGATAAATCAATAGTATAGGTTGTGGAATGATAAATCGATGATATAATAGGTCAATTTCAATCGGTCTTTGCTTATAATAATGTGCATGTACATTACTCAACATACCAATAATCGTCGGCTTGCTGTGTCTTCATTAGCTCCTGATAAGTCTGGCCGACAAGATTTTGCTGAGTAAAATAGTCATATTGGGCGAAGTCTCCTCCCACCATGCTCATCTTCAAGATATCTGCTAAGTTCATCATATCGTTGTGCAAGATACGTGGAACTTCCTGTGGTTCTATGAAATAGAGAACGTGAATCTTTTAAGACTTAAGTTTTAACAACTTCAGTCGATGCTGGCCAAAGCTCGTTTCTTATTGACTCGCACTAGCGTTTCAAACCTATTCGATTTTGTGATTAGCTTCGCCATTGACTGTCAGCCAATCACGCGATAATTAATCTATGTAGACGTAAGTGATTTACTTTGGCCTTGAAGTCAACACACGTACGTGCTACAAGCATCAGTCATCAAAACACCAGTTACGTCATCGACATTTGGGTAAAATATTATTGAATCTCGACTTTTATACCATTTTCTTTTCGAATTTCTAAAGAATGAAATCCTACTAATGGAGTTGCCTTTAATTTTTATTTGAAATGTAAATATATCGAAAGGGTTGTTTTGATTTATTTCACCTAACCGTTGATCAGCTACATCTCACTGCAAGAAAAATGAATGGGCGTAATCCATGTTGCTCTTATAACTTTGGCCGCCAGTATTGTTGAACGTGTGGTTGTCATGGCAATCTCGCAAAAGACGTGCATATTGTCAAATAATTGCAATTTTGTTGCCGTGATTGTAGCGAGAGTTCGATCTAACGAAGCCTTGCTAACTGACATGTTTTGTAATCGAGCAATCATTTCTTTGCTGTTTAAGACTTCTATTGCGAAACGTGTGTGTATGAATGTATAGGGATTACGCTCCAAACTCGTGATGTATAATCCTCCCACGCCGTAGAGTTCAAGTGTTGCCACAAAGTTTGGCTCATATTGATATGATTAATGTCGCAAATCAGCAAATAAGAATGCCGTGGCTTTACGTAGTACACAATTTTTCTCTTACCAAGTGCGCTACTTACTACTTAAACCATGATTTATCTGTCGCAATATGTTTTATTTATAATCATCGAACTGCTAAATTACCAGTATAAGGATGCTGTGGCACTGAGATCATTATTTACATTGCTATCGATAGCAAAACTTCTATAAAGTTGTAAAGTTTGCTTATTTTATTTCGCAACATACATTTAAATGCATTTGTGACGGCAAAGGCTACCTCGAAATTTGTCTCGAACATGATGGATGTATCTATCACCCCGGAATGCATTGTGAAATAACATCTTAAGATTGTGTAGAGCAAATATGTTATAGCAGTGGATTTCAAATACTTCACTTAAACAAATCATTTTTGCTGATTTTGTTATTATTAAATAAACATGGAAGGGCAACTTCTGTTTGAGAGTTTCTTTATCAATTTCTTCTCTGAGTTCGAAAAGCATTCTTGTACGATGTTGTGCACATTTTTATGGTTGACAGCCATTTTTATTAATTTCACTTGAATTAAAACTATCCCGAAGCGCCGACTCAAGTTTGGAGTGTAATTTCAATTTTACGTGACATAAGTCGAATATAAATATCCATCAAGACTTAATAAGCTGACGACAACAAGCTTTGAAGTATTCCATATGTACGAAAGCTTACAAAATAACAGGCTAACGACAAATTCGTAGTGTGCGGCAAGTGTACGTCTCATTTTTACTAGACGAAACAAATGATGTCGTAAATAAGTTAATCATTAACTAATGTCCGTTGTGCTTAGTTGTTATTGAAATTGTTAACTTCAAAATTTAGTTTGGGATATATTCGCTTGTGTATCAATGACTCGAAAAATGGTAAATTAGTTTATATGTTTTATGGATCAGTTGTAGTTCGTTGGCTAACTTGTAGATTGTAATAAATCATTGCAATATATGTTTTGTATTTTCACACGTAAACATTTCTTGTGTAATATCCTATTGCAAAAACATTTTCATCAAGTAAAAAAGGGAAGACACTTGAAAGTTAAACGGATGGAGTTAGCGAGTTTGTTAGTGACATTTTATACTCATGTGATAATCTATGACAACGTAAACACGATTTATTATGCTGACACGAATCTTATCATATCGAAAACATCATCTCGTATTTCAAAGTGAAATAGTATCATCACGTTTCTGATCTCGTCTGCACTTCAACCGATGACGCATATAGAGAGTGCTGAAGTGACGCAGAGTAAACGACAATGACATTTAAACATTTGTTTAACGTGCTTGACACAACACGTTACTCAATACTGCAAAACAACTCGCATTTGAGAACGTGCTCGATCACACATTTTAGTTTTTCTACCTTAAGATATTTGTTTCTGTCGAAAGTCATAGTGTTGACAGATCATTTGCACCTTATTTAAGCATGCGAAAAGTTTATCGCTTGATTTGGATCGTTATCAGTCAAGGCATACGATAAAATAAACATTTCTTTACATCGAAAATAATTTCGCCTTTATGAAGTGAGCTCGTTTATGCCAATATTCGAAATGTAAAGATAGTTTGTAAACGTACAGGTACCTAAAAATGTGTCTATACGTAGAAGGAGGATAACTTTAATTAATTAAATATAACGACTTAGCAAATTTTGTAGAAGTGCACTGGTTCGCGTTTTCACCAATAAGCAACATTCTCTAGTAACAATATAACATTTGTCACAATTAGTTTGAACATTGCGTGTAACTGCCATGTCGGTGAACCAGGACAAATAATTTGTTTAGGGGTAGGTTATTTGCGAAAAGTAGCGTTTTCATTGGATTTTAACTTTGTGGCATACACGTCATCAAGTTTTAAAATAATATACAATGGCTTGCCGAGCCTTAAAACAATAACAAAATGGATATGAATCGTAACGTTTGCACATTAACTGAAACTCGTCATGCTCTAATTATACACACGTTACGAACCTGTAGTCGTAAAATTGGCGGTGCCTCTCCTATTCATGTTTTCTTGTAATTCTGGAATAACTGTGAAATAAAACAACTTTGGTTAGTTTACTTGCATTCTGTAACAAAAATAGCCTTTAAAAACGGCATTCGAACAATCACTATTAAAACCTTTGAAGTATGAACTCAATCTAAATTTACTACGAAACAAAATAATTCGTTTACTGCTACGCGTCATTCCCAACAATCAAAATTTCCACCAATCGTAAACTACCTTAGTATTTTTCACAAGTCTCCTGCAATATATGAGGGAATCCCATAATGAAGCGCTACTAGTCTACAACAGCTATGATGACCTTAACCGTACGATCTAACTTCCTTATAGCCGTAGCCGGACGCGCAGTCTATTATATAAAATGAGCGAACAGTAACAATGTCCACTAACCTTCGTGCGAAATATACTTTAGCTGAGACTTTCAAAACTGCTGATCGTGCTTAGTGTATTGTTTAAGTCGCGAACTCCTCGCTTGTACGTTGCCAAATAAATTGTCTGAACGCGAAAACAACTGGTGAAAGTTTTGTGAAGTACGTCATCGTTAACCTTTGCGTGGGTGTCTCAGGGTCATTTAATCAAGTGATGTCTTTGTTTTGAACATCCTGTAAGTTGCAAGCTTGAGTGGGCAGTCAATGACAACACGAGGGTCGTGGAAAGTAAGAAACAGCGCGCGCAGTTGCCGTTGAATTGTTATAAATGAATCCTGCTATGATGATTTAGAGTTTCACTTTAAAGGAAGTTTAATTAAGTTAGTTATCGTATTGACGTTTTTTATTCTTTTATGTTAAATGATCGTTATTTCTGGTGGCAACAGTACGTTTTCTGGCTACAATTCATTGTTTGTTTTAAGTCGCGAGATTTTACAAAGGTGAAGAACGCACTTAAGGCGCTGCTTTCTTTTTCGCATGTCATTTGTAAGCTTGTCATTTGCTCTAGTGATGCCAAATAAGTCATAGCAACGATGTAAACAGACTTAGTAGGAGTATGCTAAACTCATGCGGTGCTTTCCCCAGGTAAAGTCATGTGGTGCTTTCCCTAGCGAAATATATCTCTTACAGCATTTCCTTCTGCATTACAAATTCCTGAATCTTTTGACGAGAACCATAGTTCCTGCAAACAATACCATTGTAATTGTCTGAATAAAACCTTCAAATGGTTTCAAATACTATTTTCATTTGAAGGAGCTTTTAGCGACAAATGAGACTATCTAGATATAGACAATTCAAATAAAAACCAGGTTTTGTCAAATTACTTAAGTAATCTTACATAAAGTCTGCCCTCTTACATGCCCATCAATATTGACGTTGTAAGAGAATAGGTCAATGTACAATCTACTCTACTGCAAACATCTGCTTTGCTCTTTCTGTTTCGAGACTACATGGAAACCACGTAATTGGAGAGAGAATTTTATACAAGCGTTCGCTTTACGTGATGAAGCGTCTTAAACAATGTAGATCTACTCCCAAAGCGGAGGTGATGTACATTTTCACTCTCAGTACATACCGCTTTAAGAATTGTTTGCTTTAGGTGATGGTAGATTTTAAGCCACGAAGTACATTTTCATTATCAATAGCACCACTTTAAGAATCGTTGATGAACGCCCATGATCCTTTTTTAAGACACTATTTTTTACAAAGCGGGATCTTTTGAAACACTCAGTTCATAACCACCCCTCTTTAAGCGGAGGTGATATTCAGGCGCTTTCATTATAAACAATACTCACAACATGAACTCATCCGGTTAGAAGACAAATGTAAAGAGAAAGTGATGTAGGAGTGATTGTGGATTATGGACCTGCAGTGATTTTACTGATTAATCTGTCTCATATATTGACATATAGCGTCGTATGACAAGCAGAGGCAGTAGCCACCACCCCTCCCCATTGAGACTATTGTTGGGCAGACAAGAGCAGTGGGGCATTACTCGCTTGGAAGTGGAATAAATTGGTGAACATTTCATTCAATCAAGATTGAAAAAGTGCCAACTGCCGCACCTTAAAAATACGATACAATCATTACCATGGACATTTTTATAAACAAACCAAACTAAGTACTTTGCATTTTTCTCAACAGTACAAGCACGATGAAGCAAGAACTTTAAAACTCCATGTTGGAAATGTGGTTTTTAAATCTAAAGCAATCATAAATCAGGTTTTGAATAGGTCGTGTTGGAAAAGCATCTCACGAAAAGGAGCAATTTTTGAGCAGAAAAGCTCGCTATTCAAACGAGACATTTCGGCGGCATTGTGAGACTTTATTCTTTGTTGTTTTAAAATCCTTAACACGATTGATGACCTTGTAGACTGTGTGGCAATTTGAGTCACCGAATCAAGAAAAATTTCTCCCAATTTAGTTCGGCTTTCGTATTACGAGACGGTCGTATATCAGATGCGTGTTTCTTCTATAGTACAATACAAATAAGAAAAATATCAATCCCTTTCAAATTGTCATGTGACGAACCCAAAAGACAGTAGCAAAGTTGAAGCCCAAAATTTTTGGTCGTTAGTCAATACATTCAGCGCCTGGGAACTTTCAGTATTCACTTTGATGGAATGTTTTATAGGAAACGCTATATAGAGCAATTTTTGTGTAGAATGTTCATTGTTGGCATGTGCAAGCTTTTTGTTTTGTTCTATTTCCGATGCATTGTACCTATTCCGGGAAGGCATTCATCTAAAATCATCTAATGTCATTTAATCACTTCTTGGAAGGCCATTACTTGAATCAAACATGTACATCATTATATTATTAACTTTATGATCGACTGAATAATCGTCTTTCTTTACAAACACAATAATATGATTTAATAGTTGAAGAGCTATTTGTGGTGGAAGATTTTTTGCACGTTATGTACACCATCGTACCTTAAAAGTATACCTTTGTAATGCTTCCGTTTGAGTTGTCAGAAAACTACAACAGGATTAGATTTCAGAATAAACTTCTTTTGCTTTGTCACAGGAAGCAAATCTCATTCCTATATTTGCATTTTCTCTCAGTTTGTTTACTCTTTTGGCTTCTACACTCCACGATCCACTCTGCGCGCGTAATGGATCGCGTGATGAAATATTCAAATTGTAATCTCCTCCTTTTTGTAATGTAAATGATGTTGGAGTATCTTAAGTATCTTATTTAATTAAATACTCATTTGAACCACAAGCAAGACAATATACGGTTGAAAAAATCATTCATCTATAACTGTCTAGACTTAGCTATCTTCTATTCAAACAAATTTCCACCGATTCCAAACACAGGTTGACACAAAGAGCATGTTTCTTACATTCAAGATTCTTCTTGGTGTATAAATGGATATTTTGTCACGATTAAGGAATTTTCCCACCTATTACAATGCTCCACAGGTCCACGTAAAGACATGCATGTCATTACTGCTCCCTCCTCCCCAAAAGATATAAAGTTATTGAAACCTTATGAATCTTTATTCGCTGTAACCTTCCCCTGACTTAAACAGCTGTAGACGAGAATTTGATGTAACAGCAGTTATCGCCTGTCATCTGAATGAAGTTACAGTCCCAATTCAAGGAGAAAACTAAAGGCTCTGTTGGCATATTGTCAAACTCATTTTGTAAAATTTTGTCGTCATCTAAGGCTTTGCCCTTTCGGTTGGCTCTCTACACTCCTACACTTCTACAACTGAAACTTATATTTCACTAATAAAGGTGCATGCAGAGGTAATGCTATATATGTTTCCATCACGCAGATTACATGAAGTCCATGAAAGAAATGGATTTTGCTTAAGAAGGCTAACTGTACCAATGCTGTCAAATCTAGTGAAGACCGTGCACAAGCAGAAATCAAAGCCGAATCTTTAAAATTCTAATCATATCCTAATCTGTAAAATCCTAATCAAATCTTAATCTTTAAAATCCTAATCAAATCCTTATGTTTAAAATCCTAATCACATCCTAATCAAATTCTAATCTTTAGAGAGTGAAACATGCGTTTGTGCCACTTAGAACAAAATCGTGTGCATTGTGTTGTCATATTAATATTACACAAAACTCACACAGGTCGTCTTACTATTACTGACATTGTACTAGAATATGTAGCTTGAAATAAGCATCACCAATCGATCTGGTTGTTAATTAAATTCTTCGTTCAATTTAATGACAAAGTTTTGGATCATCTCTTCAAATGCTCGGTTTGTACTCGACTCTACCGAGCCCCCTAAAGCTTGAAAATGGGTGTAGTCAACTACTCTTGGACTACAGCCCCCAAACAAAAAATTAAACCCGTTCTTACGTTTATGAGTCGAACGACTAATCGTGTGCAGTAGAAAAATTCCAGGCGTTCTTTAAATAGCAGTATATGTTACTTAAAGCGAGTTTATTGTATGTTTATATTAAAGCAGCCATACCCTGGTAATTATGGTTTTAGTTAGATAATTCTTTGTACATCATAACCACTTGCTCAGAAAAAAAACCAAAGAACTTTTATTTTTTTTTAAATCTTACTTGCTGACTTTGGTTTGTTGCGTGGAAATCAGTACTCATTAAAGTTAAGTGCATCTTATACCGTCCTACAAACATGATGAAACAAAAACCCCAATTGCATCTTACAGTTCCCTAACATAAAAACATTCATAGTTCTTAACAAAACATTTTGATGTTTTACACGGTTTGAATTTTTTATGTATTTTGCGATATTGTACTGCTCTTAAAACTATAAATTCCCGAATGAATTTTGTATTCTAGTTTTCGAACGAATGGTCTAGTTTCATCTCAAAGACTGAAAGAGTCTTTTTTGTATCAGAGGAGAGTTTTATATATTAGAAGATGGTCTTTTTTTAAGAATTACACATGTATTTCATCAGGCAAAAGTGTCGAAGTTCAGGCCGAAATTTATAAGATTTATAATTGAAAGAAATTGCTATCGTTTTAAAAAAAGTATATACGTGTGTGCATAAATAATCATTTATCTTTGTTCAACAGCTGACGTATAAAGATCAAAGGTTCTTGCAATTGTTTAAGAAGATAAAGAAGAACTCCAGAAATGTCTTGAACTTTTCACTTTTTTATGTTTTTTTCATCTTCAAAATAAATATATGAAGTGTTTTTAAAGAATCTAGGCTCAAACAAGAGACTATGTTTTTTTAAAAGTCGTGTTTTGAGAATAGAATCAAGTAGCAGTTCGTCGACATTTTCGTGCTTTTAGCTAACATTACTAAGATTACTTGCTTGTAACAAATACGGTTAACCTGACGTTTACTCCTCATTTGACTCTGAAGATGACTACCGCTAAGGTTGTCGAAATGTCAGTCAACAACAGCAAAAACAGTCCTTCTCAGGACTATACCAACCTGGACGATCTACATTTACAAACATGTAACGATACTCCCGGGTTCGAACCATTTACTTTATTACTAAGATTTCAGATTAAAATAATATGCTCTCCATCTTGAAGTAGAGAGTAAGTTTATTTGTTAAGAGAACAGAATTGCATATCAATTCCTTGACTTTTTTATGTTTTAGCTAACATCAGTATGATTTCACATTAAAATACTTTGCTTTCATCTTGAAATAAAGACCCCGCGTTTATT